TGCCGGCATCTTCTGTCTTGTATTTCTTCTCCAAAGAATCCCACAATTCTTTTGCTGTTTTCAGAGGACTGTATACATTATACAGCATATTGTCAAGGCCATTTAGGATGTAGTTTCTGCACAGGAAATCTGAATGTTTCCAAGCATCTACAGCGGCAACAACTTGCTGATCACTTTCACCCTCTTTAAGTGCTGGAGCCTCTTTATAGAGAAATCGGGCCAACAAAAAGCATAGCATTTCTTGACTCTATAATAGTGTTCACATTTATATCAGGTATTTCTGATTTATAAGTCAGAAACCGATATGCACTATTATTCTGAGCATAACCAATAAACACACAATCTACTGTTTTTGGTCCAATCTTAGTCTTTTTAGGAATAGGAACTTCAACTTTTGCCAAACACCCCCACACTTTTAAGTATTTGTAGGAAGGCGGTTGACCTTCCCACAATTCATAAGGAGTGTTGTTAGTTTTCTTGTGGGGTATTCTGTTAAGAATATAATTAGCAGACAATATTGCTTCCCCCCACAAGTTCTGTGATAAGCCTAAACTTAGTAACATGACATTCATCATTTCTTTTAGGGTTCTATTCTTTCTTTCAGCAATTCCATTTTGCTGAGGAGAATAGGTTGTTGTAGTTTGGTGAATAATGCCATATTGTGCACAAAATTCATTTAATAGTGCATCGTATTCACCACCCCTATCACTTCTAACCATTTTAATGGTTTTACCAAGTTGATTTTCAACTTCTGTTTTGTAGAGTTTAAACATTTCTAAGGTTTCATCTTTACTTCTAAGTAAATAAACATAGCAATATCTTGTGCAATCATCGATAAATGTTATGAAATACTTTTTGCCTCCTCTAGTTTGAACAAATTTTAGATCACATACATCAGTATGAATTAATTCTAGAGGTTCGGTTTTCCTTTCAACCGATTTAAATGGAGCCTTAGTTAGTTTCGCTTCTACACAAACTTCACATTTATGATTAGGATTAATTTCAAACTTTGGTATATAATCTAAACCAATTAATCTACGCAAAGCATCAAAATTCACATGTCTTAATCTACCATGCCATAAATTCGACTCAAGAATATAAGCAAAAAATGTGTTATTCTTATTCATAGCAACTTTCAATACAACTGTCATTACATTCAACTTAAAGAAACTATCACTCATGTATCCCTTACCAACATACATACCACTCTTTGTTAATAGAAATTTATCAGACTCAAAAACAAGCCTAAAACCATTTTTACTTAATAACGAACCAGAAACTAAATTCTTCCAGATGTCAGGCACCTGCAGTACGCTATTGAGGGTCAGTTCTTTCCCTGATGTCATCTTCAAGATCACTTTCCCTTGTCCAGCCACAGTAGAAGTAGAAGAATTTCCCATGAAAAGTTGTTCACTATTTGCAGCCTCATTGTAGGTAGTGAACATCTTCTTATCCGCACAAATATGACGAGTTGTCCCAGTCTCAACCCACCATTTCTTGGGATTTCCAACCAGATTAGCCTCAGACACCACAGCAGAGAGGTTGATGTCATTCACTCCGTCAGAGATGTAATCTAATTCAGTTACCTTGGCCTGATTGGTAGTCTTCTTGCTTGTACTTCCATGATCCTTCTTAGGGTGGTGGCAATCAGAAACTCGATGTCCAGTCTTGCCACAGTTATAGCATTTTCCTTTGAACTTCTTGTTGCTATCGCCTTGTTTAGGACCATCTCCAGTAAACTTCCTCTTTTTGTTATGTGGTTTATGAACTTGTTCAACCACATTAGCCTTGGACTCAATGTGATTTTTCCCGTTCCTCTTTTCAGCATTACGGTTATCTTCCTCAATTCTCAGTCTTACAATTAGTTCATCCATGGTCATCTATTTGCGTTTATGTTTTAAATAATTTTTGAAATCTTTCCAAGCTGGTGGTAACTTTTCCACTAAAGCAGCGACTTGGAACGACTCGCTTAGAGACATACCCTCAGAATGAATATCATGTAAAATTAATTGAAAACTTTGAGCTTAAGAAATTATCGTTTGGGAGTCTACCAAAACGAAGTCCAGAAATTTACCGACAACAAATTTCTTCGTGTCGGCATCCTCTGTCTTGTATTTCTTCTCCAAAGAACCCCACAATTCTTTTGCTGACTTCAAAGGACTGTAAACATTATACAGCATGTTGTCAAGGCCATTAAGGATGTAGTTTCTGCACAAGAAATCTGAATGTTTCTAAGCATCAACAGCGGCAACAACTTGCCGATCATTTTCACCCTCTCTAAGTGCTGGAGCCTCTTCATGGAGAAACCAGGCCAAATTAAGAGTTGTAAGATAGAATAGCATCTTCTACTGCCATCTCTTAAACTCAGTACCGTTAAATTCTTTCGATTTTTCTCCATGATTTATTGGTACATGAACATGGTTCTGGATAGGGACCGGTGTTGGTGTAACAATTGGAGTACCACTTCCAGTTGCAGTTTCAGTAGCAGTAGCCATAATCTCTGATTATAAAAATCAGAAAAATTAAAACACAAATTAATTTTCTAGTTACTAAAACCAAAAAATAAATTATTACACAAAATAATTTTATTTTCCTTGTTACTAAAACTAGAAAAATAAAATACCACAATAATTTTCTGTAACACAAATTAATATTCTGCAATTGTTAATGACACCAGTATATTACTACTAGTTGTCAAAGAAAAGAAACATTATATCACTACTATCTGTCAAATAGCATAAACCACTATTTGTTTTTCCAACCAGAATATGTCTTTATGAAATCACAGAAAATTAAATACAATGAAGATACCGAAAAAAAAAATTTGTCTTAAGATTGTTGGAAAATCTTCACTGTAATTAATTAATTCTGTTTGTGTACTTAACAACAAACAGAGTAACAAAGAAATAAAGGAAATGAGAGAAATTTGTTTGATTACAAAAATCAAACTAGAAATAGAAATAAATAAATAAAAACAAATTTTATTTTGTTACAAAAATAAAATTAAAATCTGATTTAAATAAATAAATAAAACAGAATAATAAATTAAACAACTTACTTGATTAATGTCTTCGACTAATAATCTGATCAAGTCCAGTGTTTGACACTGTGTCCTTAAGACAGATTCGTCCTCTCTTCGGTGCTTTCAGAATATGGACGTCTATCTCCCAAGATGAAATGATCTACAACAAATATATGCAGCACTACAATATATTTGTACAATGAACACACTAAGTGTTTTATACTCTCTCTCACAAGAAAATAAGGCAACAAAATGAAGAATAAATTTGCAGAGCTATTAAAGACGAAAATTCTGAATGTTAAAATCAAATGAAGGGCTGATCTATTTATAGGCAGAATTGTGGCTGTTAGTTTTGAATTAAACAGGTGCAAAACCTGTTTGAATAGATATGATACCTGTTCAGTTTGAATAAACAGATACAAGTCTGTTGGGTTCAAAATTTGAACAGGTAAAAAGGGAAAGGGCCCTGTTTGGGTGTATAGGAAAAATCAGACCAGTGTATTTCCGGAATTAATTTGAATTCTGGATTTTATTTTTTGGAAAAATAAATTTTAATTTAAATGTTTTTAACCCAAAAAGATTAGTATTGGGCCGAACAAGCCCAACCCCAGGCCCAACCCGCCCGACCGGACGGCGACGGCGCGTGGTGATTTTTGGGTCCAATGGGTCTAGCCCATTTTGCCCATAACCTCCCTCTCCAAAACACATGGGTACCCCTTGGGGCACACCCCAAGTTCCAATCCCATGCTTTATAAACCCATTCAAAACTTCCCACCAAATCAATATGGGACAGGCCTTATTCAAACCTTTAAGGATTTTTCACAAAAACTCTATTTCCATGGAGCATACTTTGGTTTCAATTTCCCATTCACCCGGTAATAGTTTTGAGCAACCAAATATACCACGTGAATCACAACGCAGCATAGAACGCATTACCACTTTGACCCGTAAAAATCGACGCACGGATCCCACCTAAATAATAGACCAAAGTTGGGGAAAAATTCTAGTTTTACCCAGAATTTTCTCAACCATTTCCAACAAAATTATGCAAATATTCTAGAAAATAAATAACATTGAAAGAAATATATAGTTCTGTGTTTATTTAATTTTATGAAGCAAGTGACATGTAAAAATTCTAGAAAATTAGAAGCAAATCAACATGCAAATTATATCTAGAAATTTAAAACATATGAATTAATCTAGTATATGAAAATTATTGAATATAGTAATTATATTAGAAAATTAGAAACCAATTAGCATGTCACTATTAACCACAAAATGCCAACATTCATAAGCATGTGAAATTATAAAACTAAACTGTAGAGACTTTAATTTTTGGTAATTTCACTTGAAACCCTAAGCCTTAGGTTAATTGCATTTTAGTCCCAAATTTCATAAAATTTTACAAAATGGTCCAATAAAGAATAATTTTTCTGTATTTTTTTTTTTGTATTATAATTAAATCCAAGAACACCACTTTATAATTGGAAATACCCTAAAACTTGGTTTTTATTTATTAACCTCCTAGTTTCAAAATTAATTCATACATTTTATTTTTTAGCCTATTTGAATATTAGTTATTTAAATCTTTATTATTTATTTGAGAAAATAAATATCTTTAAATAAATATTTTTACTATTTATTTTATTCTTTATTTGAGCAAATTAGTGGAACACAAAATATCTAGATATTTATGATTTCCTTTAGTCTTTAAGCAAGAGGGTAGAATGGTCTTTTTAACCCAAATTCATGGCCTATAAATTGAGAGTCTTGCCTCAATTCCACACCTATATTTAAGCAACCAAGGAGAGGGTGAGAAAAGGACAGTGTGATTAGGGGGAAGTAGAGAAGAAGAAGAAGAAGGAAAGAAAAAAAAGAGAGAGAGAATGAAGAAAAGGTGACTCAAGAAGGTAAAAACACACCCCCTCCCATGTCTTCTCCAATTCTTTCACCCATCTCATCCTATTGTCTAGATGCCCTCTTGTGTTGCATATTAATGGTAAATAGGGTTTTTGATATGTATGAAAAGTGTGGGTTTGATTTAGTGACTTTGCCTTACAAGTTTGTCAAATTATGCGTTGCTGCTGCAACTTCTCTAATTTAAAAGAACTATCAAACTTATTTATTTCTCAAATCTGAATTTAATTTAGGATATTTTGTGTGTTTAGAGTTTGTGATAATTTTATTAGCCCCTAATTGTGTGTTTTTAGGGCTTGGATATTTTGTTTAAAAATTTGGTCCTGAGTCTCTGAAAAATAGTCCACTTCTTTCAATTTTATAAAATTTCAGAAAAATCATCTCATGTGGGTACTTCTTTCAAAATTTAGAATTCTGAGTCCTCTTTCCAACAGAATTTATTTAGGTGAAAATCATCAGGTAGATTGAGAGGAAAGCTAGTTTTCCCAAAGGGTGACAAATCTGGACAGGTTTTTGAATATACCTTGTGAATGAATTTCTGGAGGTGCTGTGCAAATTCTGAGAATTGGAACTGAAACTAGACAAGTTGATTATTGTTTCCGTGCAATTTCAGGCCCTAATTTGACCTCGAAGTATTTTTACCAAAGCATTCGTGTTTGCCCTGTAGAACTGAATAATGTTGGAAATGGTGTTTTATTGTGTTATTTGTCTCCAAGTATTTCAAAGCATGCCTAATGTTGTTTGCTTGCCTTACCATACTTATGTATGATTATCATGGGCTATATTTCCTCTCTTATGTTTGTCTCTTGCTCTTTTATATTACCAAATTACAGAATGTGATTAACTTGCTTGGCAAAAGATCTAATAAACGGGAAATGATAAGGGGTTAGCAATGGGTGACGTTCACATTAGTGTTGTGGAATAATTTATACATATAAATGACATGAATTATGATGGGATTAAAACCAAATGAGTTAAGTCTTGCGCAAGCGGTCTAAGCGAGCCCCTACATTGACACATATGTATTCAGACTCTAAGCGGTGGTTTCAGGGTGTAAACGAGCCCTTTGGTATGGTATGTGCAGGGTGTAAGCGAGCCCTAGACACGATTTGAGTGTAAGTGAGCCCACTTGTTTGGCCGTCCCTTTTGAAGTCCATCAATGTCATTGACCGGTAAATAACCGGGTGGTGGGCATAGGTGGTAAGGTCTGCAAAGCAGCAAAATGGGGAGTTCGGAATAATCCGATGTTCAATCCGTGTCATTGGGTAGAAGGATCTCTTTGAGGGATTCTAGATATCTAGTCTAACTAGTAATTCATAGAACTATCGTATGTTATGTTACCCAATTTGTTCTGTGTATGGTTGATTGGTTGATAGAAGAAATGGGAGTGTGAGTGTCTTTACTAGGCATTCCAAGCTCATGGCGTGTCATGTCAGGTGATGTAGTAGTTTACAATGGTGAAGGTTATTTCGAAGGCAAATAAGATGAAGTATTGGAGCCGTGGTTCCTATGAAGACTTAGACTAGCAGTTTTTTTTTTTCCTTTTGACTTTTGGTTTAGCAATATTTTGGTAATCCTGTAATGGAACATAAATGAATTATCTGTGATATTAACTTTGGTTATATATGTATATTAAGATGTTTTGGTTATCTATCTTACTTTTGTTGTATTATTGTACATATTTAACGGTCCGAAAGTTGGGGTGTTACATAAACCCCAAGCAAATCATGCACATTTGTTAAACTGAACAACTATTGAATATAATTACTAAACAGTGGGCTTAAGCATATATAAACAAATTTATTTTATTTTAATTTCATAAACAAATTTTATACAATGTATGATAGACCCACATAGAAAATAACATAGTAGCATTTCTATTAAATTGATCATAAAATTCACACATACCATTACATATATGAATTTACTAATCTAAACATGGATCAGTTTTTTTTTTTTTTTTAATTACTGAAGTGCAACAGTAGCTTATTCCAATTAATAATGTATTGGCCTATTTTGAAAAAATGGTAAAAAGTGATTTTTTGGCTTTTTTAGACAAATGATTTGGGAAATTGATAAAAAGTTACTTTTGATTTTTTTTATTAATATTTGTTTATGATATCAAATCATGATAAAATGACCAAACTACCCTTATCCAATTGAAAAATTACACATTTTCACCATGTCATTTTCTACCTATGGAGGGTAATTTCGTAATTTCTCTTTTGACTTATAACCACAATCCCAAATCAATTTATGGCCAAAAAAAAGTTACTTTTAGCGTTTGAGCAATAAGCCAAAACGCCACTTATAACTGTGTCCCCAGAAAGAGCCAAAGGATCTATATGTACTAAATCTAAATTCCTAATCATGACTTCAAACAGTGGCCTCCTTTGAATAGCATGTAAAGAATCCGCATACAACACAGTGACCTATTCTAGAAAAAGAACAAAGCAGTTGCAATAATAATCCAATTTCTTAAAATACTATAGTAGTAGACTACGGAAACCAATTAATCTAGTACATACTGCATCTATGCTAGAGTGTAAATTTATTTTATATGAATCTATTTTTCTAGGCAAGTTGCACGTTGGAAGCCGGAGTTAAAATTTACTCGATGAGGGTGGATTCAGTGCATTCAGAGGCATACAAGGTTCTTGGAGGGATTACTCGAGTCGGTCAACAAAATGAACCAGGTTAGCTTTTTCCAGTGCCCACGAAAACATAGCTTCTTTAGCAATTTTGTTCTTCCTAGTCCTGTTCCTTGCTTGATATAAATTTGATTCTTTTTTAAATTTCAATGCAAATTTTTTTGAAGGACTTTATGATAATCATATTGATTTTACATGAAGATTAAAATAAAAAAAAAAAATCATTACTCAAGGTTGATCTGTGTTGGGGAGTGGTGGATTGGGTATCTTTTGTTAACATTGTTTCAGCCTTATCGTTTTTAACAAAACGCTTTTGAATTTCTAAAAGAAATTCACCGGCAACGGTAACATCCTCTGTTATTGCACCCCGAAAAACTTCTGGAATCCCACGCTTCATGATCATAAGACTTAGCCTGTTAGAACGATCCCACTTTTCAAAGTACACAGTTTCCTCAGGAGTACTTTGTGCAGTGAGAGCATTCGGTTTTGGCATCCTTAATGCCAAGTCTATGTCCATGCAGCCGAGAACAATCAATATGTTCTCTTTCCAGTCCTTAAAGTTTGTTCCATTTAACATTGGAACATTGTTCATGTTGGCAGAGATTGAAGCAGTCGACATTAAAGCTGAATAGACAAGAAAATAAAAGGAATGCTCACATTAAGTTACCAAACAGATAATCTCTAAATAAAAAAATGACAACATCTCAAGATACCTAGCACAACATTAATACCAAGCCTTTGGGTAGTGATATTAACTGTAAGTGGTATTCTTGTTGTAATGATCAAACATTGACAATAAGTTATGTCAAATAACAAATCTATCTTTTGATGGATTTATTATTCACATTAGGTTTCCTTGACAATTGGCACATGTTTATCACCACAAAATGTGTGTGTAATTCTGCCAAGTCTTAATCATGTCTTTGGACCGATAAATACCCGCATGAGATACACAGACATGAATTTCAAAACATTCCATATAAAACAATCTAGACAAGAGAGATCACTTTTGTGACATCTTATTTGAATTGACTTATATTTAGAACATTAGAAAATTAAATTTCCATAGACGTTGAGGATTTAGAAAAATAAAACAGTGTTCTTATCTTTTTTTCACCTTGGGAAGGAACAGGGACCATAACCTTTTAAAGGTTATAATTGGTTTTCATAACTGAAAGGTAATGAAAACCAATAAATTAACCATTATTGGTTTTAAAACTGAAGGGTAATGAAAACCAATAAATTAACCATTATTGGTTTTAAAACTGAAAGGTAATGAAAACCAACTTTAACCAATATGTTTTAATTTCTATTTCTGCCCCTCATAGAAATAGAAATTATACAACTAGTATCTACACATTAGGTCCATAACACATATACCCTTAAGCCTATTAACTAAATTGAATCACTTAAATTGTAGGCTTCTTATAAATGATAACACCACATTTAATTATGTGGTCCCATTGAGACATTATCTAACATCTTCGGCTTATTTTCACAAAGCAGTTAGTCTTGTATTGAAGCCCATGTTTTATGTTCAACAGCATGGCATTTACAAACACATCAAGAATCAACAATAGCAATAAGGAAAACAGATTATGTTCCTAATTTACATTTTGAAAGTGGATAATTAGCCTAGCTACAGCGGGCTAAAATGAACGTGCAACGGCTCTCTAAATTTTGGTTCTCTAGGCTCTTTAGACTATGTAAATGATGGATCAACATTATGTTATTATCATTTTGCTTTAATTTTAATGAACTAATACACATTCAAGTGGATGTCTTTTGGTGCATGTAGTTTGTTCAAGCTGGGACTTCTGCTGCAGATGTATGTGACCGACTAAAAGGGCTTTCAGAGCATGAGAGTCTATGAAGCACGGGTACTCCAAAAATAGTGTCGTACGAGTACCGAGTACTTACCGGGTGCAGGTACGCGTACCGGTACGGTGGTACGCGTACCGAGTATGGCAAAAGAGGGTCCGGTACGTTTGGCTTATTCGGGTACGGCACGGGTACGGCATGGGTACGGCGTGGGTACGCCATGGGTACGCCAAGGCCAATTTTTTTTTTTTTTTCTGCCCTTGCAAATTAGCAATTATTATTATTATTTTTTATTTTTTTTGGTGCCCTTGCAGATCAGTAATTTTGATGTTTCTCTGTTGTCCTGTTTGTCTGTATAAATTGTAGAAACATATCAACAAATGATTTTAATGTTTTTAAAAAGCAATTTGAACCAAAAAAAATAACAAGGCCTATAAAGGGTAGTTCTGTGTATGACTATGCATTATGCTTTTGCTTTAGATCCTCCTAGAATTTCTTTATAAAATCTTTAATCATAACAAACTTTTAAAGTTTATGCACAAAACATTAAAAATTGATACTGTATTAGTTGATTAGTAGTTGTTGGGAATGATGCAATTTTATGTATTATGCAAATTGCAATTGACAACCTGCACCAATTGAGAATTTTTTTCCTTTATTGTTGGTAATTAACTTTAAATCTTTATTTGGTCTCTTGTTATTTCTTTGGTCTCACCCTATAAAAATAGCAAATTGATGAGCAAAAAGAAAGATTTTAAAAATAAATTATGATCACAAATTCACAGTGCATAACATATCAAAGTGAGAGATTTCACAAATATTATTTTTAACGTTTAATGGTTTTAAATTATAGGAAAATGAGTAGTTCTTTTTTTAGTTTTGATATTTAATTTTAATTTGTAGGTTGGATCCTTTAATGAAAATTATATTTAAAAAAAAATAAAAAAATATCGGCGTACCGTAGCCGTACCCGTATCGTACTTTTTTTGAGTTTTGCCGAATCGGCGTACCCGCACTCGTACCCGTACCGTACTCGTACCCGCACCCGTGCTTCCTTGACGAGAGTGTTTGTGGGTCGAGAACTGCCCCATGTGATTCATGTGGGCGATCTGCCATGCTTAAGGAGATGGACATTCACCAAATTGCTGTTCATCAAAAGAATTAATCCGGAATTTGCTTTTCTGCTTTTGTATTCCTGGAACGGGTTTGTTAACTTATGTCTTCAAGGCTCTGGTTCATGTAGATTATTGCCAATGACGTCAGTACTGCTTCTACGGGGGCAGGGGCACGTAGAGCTCAATCTGATTGCATTGTTGCAGTTGTATTATTTTATGAATTCTTATTCAGGCATGTGGATCTACAAAAGCAATATAGTGAATTACAAGTGTTTTAGTTTTCTATTGATGTTGTGCATGTTGTCTCAAATCTGATAATCAAATGAATAGATTTTCTTTTCTCAATCGTAAAGTAATTTTCTTGTCTATTTTTGTTATAATGAACGTGATAGCTTATTTCTAGTTTGTTGGGAAGAGAATAATAGTATGTGTGGGGACATAAATTTTGAATGACGACACGTGGTCGAGGTGTTACCGAAGTGCCAGCCGGGGTGTCACGTGTCCTGATCATGATGCTGAGATGATCTTGGCTAAGCCGAGGTTATCTATGAGAATACCGGAATTCGGGATAAGCGGATAAGGGACAAGAGTCCTAGAATGAGAGAAGACTTCAGTTTGGATAAAGATAAGACTCTTAGAGAGTTTATCTCAATCCTACTGAGAGTCCAAGACTAGCAGTAATGCAGAGTCCATAGAAGTTAGGTTTTTATTAGGACTAGGTTTGTGTTGGCTATAAAAGTGAGGTACCCTTATGGGTCTAAGGTACACTTTTTATATTCTGAATAGTGAGTTAAGCACTTTGCTATCTTTGAAAGATAACTGACTTGATCGTCGGAGTGCCCCCGGGTGGACGAACCACCGCGGGATTCTTATCTTTCTATGACAGGTTGTTTGGGGTTAATCTATTCTATCGGTGCTCTCCAGCTGAGTTCCCCCTTTTAGTAGTGTGGTCGGAAATAAACACACACAATTTAGCGCCGTCTGTGGGAAAGAAATGAGAATAAATGGCCAATAACGGACAGAAAGAGAAGGTCGGGGACAACACTCCTACTAGGAGTGGGAAACCTATTGACCTTGACGTTGAAGAAGACAACTGCAACAAGCAGACTCGTGATAAGAATCATGGAGAAAAGGACGTCGGCCAGGAGGGCGACACGTCAAGGAAATCAGACCGAAGCAGATATTATAACGAGGACGACCCCCAGGTGTGGAAAGAAAGATGCCTGCAGAGGGACAACGAGATGAAGGGAATGGAAAACAAATTAGCGGACCTACAGACAGTCGTCAACTTCATGATGCAGAACAATGTCATGTAGCCACCATTCCTACAAGATATGCCGATTCTAGCGACCAAGAAAGATGCCCAGAAAGATGGACAGAAAACAGTCCCTACAGTCCCCCAGCACACCAGGGCCGAGAAGCACTCTCATCGGCCTTTGAAGGAAGTCGAGCGAGGAGAGTCAAGAAGGGGAGATTCACGAAGGACGCATCATACCAAGGAAGCTGATCCCAAAGAACATCGGCACATTCAAGGACAGGAGCTGTGCTTCGACGCAACTAATGGAGGAAAGTCCAAAAGGACTCACAATGACACAAGCAGTAGTGCACCGAAAAGGCTAAAATTCGGAGATAGCCGAGCTCCTGGGCGGACCAAAGAGGACTTTAGGGATTACCTCCAGAGGAAGCAACAAAATGCCGAGGTAATCTCCTCGGTTAAACCAAAAATACCATTCTCGGTAGAATTGGACAAATTCGTAGACTCGAAGAGGTTCAACATGCCGAGGTTCCAAATATACTACGGACAGTCGGACCCCAACTTTCACGTCAGTTTGTACCTGAATTCGATGGCGTTGTATACTGGGAATGAGTCGTTGCTTTGCAAGGTGTTCCCCTCATCATTCAGGGAAATCGCAACAGACTGGTTTCACAAGTTGCCGAAAGGAACTGTGAAAACCTGGGAAGGCCTGGCCGAGATGTTTGTGGCCAGGTTCATGACAAACAAACTACAGGCATTGAGGGTAGACGCCCTGATGGCTCTAAAAATTGGCGGGGATGAAATCCTAAGGGCCTATGCCAAAAGGTATTATGAGGTATTCAACCGAATACTAGAATGCAACCAAGAGGTGGCCGTTGTATCATTTAAAAACGACCTGAAAGATGATTGCATGCTTCGAAAATCACTGGCAAAGACATTGCCAAAAAGCATGGAGGAACTTATGGCCAGGATAGAAAAGTATGCCAGGGCCGAGGAGGACACGCCGGGGACAAAGGCGCCGAAACCAGGGAAGAAAAACGGCTCGCCGAAGTGAGGCTGAGGTGATGATGGACACAACAAACCGGAGACAGGACTAAGGGCTGCACAAGCAGTCATAACCATATTGCAAATCCCAGTTTACAAAGTCTTGGAGAAAATCCGAAATCACCCTATTACAGAGCACCAACAAGGGTACCAGGAGAATTTATAGGAAGAAACCTTTGTAAGCACTGTACTTACCACAATGAAGCTGGACATCTGACTCAGGAGTGCAGAGCCCTGAAGACACATCTGGAAGACCTGGTAAGACAGGGCCATTTAAGGGACTTGGTATACGAGGCCAGGACAAGGGAAAAACAGGCAAGACTGCCCCAAGCACCAAGAGCACCACCCCCACCAGCACCACAACCGCAGGTAGGCGGACCTCGAGTAATTAATGTGATTCATTCGAAGGTGAATGAGAATGAGATTAGGGGGAAACCCAGAAGGTAAAACACCTACAACATGTGTATCAGGTTTGGAAAAAGAGGCCTAGGGTAGACGAGAGCCAGGGACCAGTGGTGTCCTTTACTGAGGGAAACCTGGAGATGGTGCAGCATCCACACAACAATGCCTTTGTAGTATCCCTCCAGGTTGGGGAGTGCCAAGTGAAGCGCATCTTAATTGACTAAGGCAGCTCTTGTGACATCATGTATATTAGGTGTTACAAGGAGGTTGGCCTTCACCCAGACGATATGGAGCAGTCCAATGGCCCAATGGTTGGGTTCAATGGAACGCCGACGTGGCCACTGGGAGCAGCAAGTCTGGAGGTGCAAGCTGGCACCAAGAGGATAAAAACAGAGTTCACCATAATCGACACCCCCTCCCCTTACAATACTATCCTGGGAAGGCCATGGCTACATGCAATGGGGGTTGTTCCCTCAACATTGCATCAACTATTACGATTCCCAACAGAGCATGGAATAAAAGAGGTCAAAGGCAATCAGCTACAGGTAAAGAGTTGCTCCATGGTAGCAAATGAAATCCACCTGCAACATAAGAGAACCAGAAACAACAGAGGTCGAAGATGAGGACGTGAAAGTCCTGGAGGACGTCGGCAAAAAGCCAACTGGGAAGAGTGAAGAAGCCGCCAGCCGAGAAGAGTGAAGAAGCCCTGAAGAAAATCCTTATCCAGCAAGGGGATGAAGAACGCTACTTCCTTCTCGACTCGGGCTTAGCCGAGGAAGAGAAAAAAGAACTAAAGGCATTCCTGAGAGCAAATCTGGAGGTATTTGCATGGACGCCCTACAAGATGCTTGACATTAACCCCGAGGTCACCTGCCACAGGCTGAATGTAGATAGATTGGCCAAACCTGTCATCCAGCGAGCAAGGAGGCCGACATTAATGCATGTTGAGGCAGTGAAAGAGGAAGTAAATAGACTTCTGGAGGCCAGAGCCATTACAAAGGTAAATTACCCGACATGGCTATCAAATACAATGGTGGTGAAGAAAAAGAATGGTAAATAGAGGGTCTGCGTGGACTTTACCAACCTAAACACGGCCTGTCCCAAAAACAGTTTCACATTACCCAAGATTGACCAATTAGTGGATGCCACTTCAGGGCATGGAAGGATGAGCTTTCTAGATGCCTACATGGGGTACCATCAGATAGCCATGTACACCCCAGATGAGAAAAAGACTGCGTTTATCACTCTAAAAGGGTTGTATTGCTACAGAGTAATGCCTTTTGGGTTGAAAAATGTAGGAGCAACTTACCAGAGATTGGTAACCAAGATGTTCAGACACCTAATTGGCCGAACAGTGGAGGTATACATCGATGACATGGTCGTGAAGACCAGGGAACCTAAGGATCATCTGGAAGACTTAAAGGCAGTCTTTAACATCCTTAAAACATATCGGCTCCGACTCAATGCATCGAAATGTGCATTTGGAGTTGGGTTTGGTAAGTTTTTAGGATATGTGGTAACTAAAAGGGGTATTGAGGCAAGCCCAGATCAGATCAAGGCTATCTTAGAACTGAAGAGCCCAACATCGGCAAAACAAGTGCAGATGTTGACTGGAAGGGCTACAGCCCTTAACAGATTCATAAGCAGAAGTTCTGATAAGTGTAAGCCTTTCTTCAGCTTAGTAAAGAAAGCCACAGACTTCTTATGGACCGAAGAATACGAAGCCACCTTGGCCGACTTAAAGAAGTATTTGACCACAGCTTCAGTTCTCTCAAATCTAGTACCTGGAGATGAGCTGTTCTTATACTTGGCAGTTTCAGAGCACGCAATAAGTGCAGTAGTAGTCAGAGAAGAAAAAGAAGAGCAGAGAGCAATTTACTACGTGAGTAAAACTCTGGCAGATGCAGAAACCAGATACTTACCCTTGGAGAAATTAACACTAGCTTTAGTAGTGGCTTCCAAGAAGCTGAATCATTATTTTCAAGCCCACAAAATTATGGTGTTAACTGAACATCATTTAAGGTCACTGTTGCAGCAAGGAGATCTGACAGGCAGAATAGCCAGATGGGCAGTGGCCTTGGGCTAATTTGACCTGGAATTCAGACCCAGGACAGCAATCAAAGGCCAAGTCTTAGCCAACTTCGTGGCCGAGTTCACACCAGACACCGTCGTACATCAGGCTCCGTTGAGCTGAGGTATACAACGTCCAAATGAGCAAGAAAAACCCAGCAGGGGACAACAGAACAAACGGACAAAGAGAAACTGAGGCCCTGCAGTACTTACATCGGCGACTCCTTCTGATTGTTTGTTGATGGGAGTTCAAACCAACAAGGAGCGGAGGCAAGAGTAGTATTAGTTTCGCCAGATGGGCAGATACTGGAACAATCCATTCGTTTGGGGTTTAAAGCCTCAAACAATGAAATAGAATATGAAGCACTAATCGCAGGGTTAAAACTGGCAGCAGCCATAGAAGCCGACGAGGTAATAGTCTTATGTAACTCCCAACTTATAGTCAACCAGGCAACAGGCAAATATGTAACCCGAGATGAAAGGATGTCGACCTATGCAAAGGAAGTTGGCAGATTGGTAACCTTATTTTAAAATTGCCGACTACAGCAGGTCAATCAAGATGACAACAGCCACGCTGATGCTCTGGCCAACCTGGCTAGTGCAATGAAGCCTAGAGAGGCAAAAATGATAATGGTTAACTACTTGCCAGGTCCAAGCATAGAACCACTGAACACAGAGCGCGAAGCAATGTGTGTAGAGATGGGACCAAGTTGGATGGATGCAATAATAGTATTCCTAAGAGATGGGAAGCTGCCAGATGACCGAAAAGAAGCGCACAAGATCAGACTAAAGTCGGCAAGATTCAGTTTGACCGCAGAATGACACATTTACAGAAGATCTTTTACTGGACCACTTCTGAGGTGTGTGCATCCTACACAGGTCGAAGACTTTCTGGACGAGGTACATGAAGGAGTATGTGGAAGCCACGCTGGGGGCAGGTCACTTACTCATAAGGCCATTGCTAAGGGGTACTGGTGGCGCTATATGCAGAAAGATGCCGAAGCCTATGTCAAGAAGTGTAAGAAATGCCAGAGGTTTGCACCTTTAATACATCAACCAGCAGCAGACTTGAACCCGGTGTCCAGTCATTGGCCATTTTCCCAATGGGGCATGGATCTTGTTGGAAAACTGCCTCAAGCAACTGGGCAAAGGAAGTACTTGCTAGTAGTAACAGATTACCTCACCAAGTGGGTAGAAGCTGAACCCCTTGCCAAAATTCGGGACGTTGATGTAAAGAACTTCATATGGAAGAACATCATCACCAGATTTGGGATCCCAAGAGCAATAATAGTTGACAATGGCACACAGTTTGACAGTAAGTTAATTAAGAGCTTTTGTGCAAAGTTTAAAATTAAGAATTATTTTTCCACCCCAAGTTTCCCTCAAAGCAATGGACAAGCAAAAGCGTCCAACAAAGTTATCTTGGATGGGATTAAGAAGAGGCTGCAAGCAGCAAAGGGAAAGTGGGTGGATGAGTTGCCCAGTTTACTCTAGGCATATCGGACTACGCCGAGAAGATCAACGGGGGAATCCCCATTTGCCATGGCTTATGGCACAGAGGCAGTAATTCCACCAGAGGTCGGCATCCCAGGGATCAGAACCCAGGGAGTAGAGAATGGGACCAATGAGGCATTCTTAGCCCGAGATCTGGATCTGCTAAAAGAAAGAAGGGAGAAAGCAGCAATTCAGCTGGGGGCATACCAGCAGCAACTTGCCATGGCTTATAATAAGAGGGTCAACCCAAGAGAGTTCCAAGTCAGTAACCTCGTCCTGAGAAAAGTCGTTGGCAACAAGAAGGATCCCAGAGAGGGCAAGCTTGGCCCAAATTGGGAGACCCAATAGAATCATCTCGGTATTGGGCAATGAGGCATATCGGCATGAAGATAGTGAAGGCAAAGAGTTGCCAAGGCCCTGGAATACTTGCAATCTGAAATTTTTCTATCATTAGACTTTCTTGTTCCTTGTTATTAGCCGAAGTAATAATAAAGTTTTAGCTTGACTTTTTACACTTGTGACTGATAAGATACTTGACGATGTTTCTGATTGAAACATGACGAATAACTTAGACCTATTATATGACAGAATTCTTACTTGCATATAATAGAGTTGAACTAAGCTGAATTAACCTGAACTTGCCATGTCGGCAGAGTCAAACACAGATTGAAACTAAATGCACTTGGGTAAGATTAACAGAAGAACCAAGGTTGAAAACATCGACTAGTCTCTATTTAAATATGGACTTTGGCAACGAGGTCAGAGCCACATGCTTAATGAGAACCCAAGTGGAACTTAAGTTCACATTAAGGGGCAGAGAGTTGGAGAATGGTACTTGGAATGTGGAAATTACAAGCTAAAATTAGTTTAACACTTGTTGAAATTTAAGTTTACAAGTTGAAGTTAAACCGAGGTCATGTTTAACGCTTATTGAAATTTAAGTTTACAAGTTGAAGTTAAACCGAGGTCATGTTTAACGCTTGTTGAAATTTAAATTTACAAGTTGAAGTTAAACTGAGGACATGTTTAACGCTTGTTGAAATTTAAATTTACAAGTTGAAGTTAAACTAAGAACATGTTTAACGCTTGTTGAAATTTAAATTTACAAGTTGAAGTTAAACCGAGGACATGTTTAACGCTTGTTGAAATTTAAATTTACAAGTTGAAATTAAACCGAGGTCATGTTTAACGCTTGTTGAAATTTAAAGTTACAAGTTGAAATTAAACTGAGGTCATGTTTAACACTTCTTGAAATTTAAGTTTACAAGTTGAAGTTAAACCAAGGTCATGTTTAACACTTCTTGAAATTTAAGTTTACAAGTTAAAGTTAAACCAAGGTCATGTTTAACACTTGTTGAAATTTAAGTTTACAAGTTAAAGTTAAACCAATGTCATGTTTAACACTTGTTGAAATTTACAAGTTGAAGTAAACCGAGATTGTGTTAAAGGAAGATTGGTTTAAACACTTGTTGAAATTTTTAAAAAAATTTACAAGTTAAGCTAAGGTTGAAATGAAAGAAGTACTTGCATACTTGCCGAGATAAAAGCGCTGGTTTATATAACCGAGGTATATCACCCTGAGAAGATTGCACAGTTAAGGTGTATGTAGAAGACATACAAATTATTCTAAATATAAAGGCATTAAAAGAAGAAAAACATACAAGCATTCAAAAGAGAGGAAGTTGTATTTACATCCAAGAGAAGGCACATCGGCCAGCTAAAAGCTTAACATAAACAGAGTACAAGGTACAAGAAATAAAGAAGGAAACGTCAAAATAAACTACTCGGCGTCGGCGGCAGGTTGTGTCTCACCCCCAAAAGACAGTTGGGAAGAGTTCTCAGCAGCTTTCTCAGCCGCGAGCTCAGCATCAATCTCCTGAAGAGTTTGATCGAGGCTTTTCTCGACGATTAGCACCTCGGAGTTTGTCTTCTGAGAGGAGGCATCTTTAGAGACCTCACCCTTCTTATCCTGAGACAAGTCTACGACTTGCTCATTTAGAGTAGGGGACTTGGCCCCAGCAGCTTCCTTCTTTTTTCTCACCAAAACTTCCTCCTCAGACTCAGAATCGTCTTCGAATTGGCTTGGAGTAGGGGGGAATGGCAGGGGAAGGACGTCGGCATTCTTGAGGGGGGAGTCCTCGGGGACATCAAGCTTTTTGAGGGCAGTCATCCAACCAATAGTGAAACCCTTGTTGCATGCCTGCTTCACTTGTTTTTTGTAATCCTCCTTGACGTCGGCCGCCCCCTCAACATACGCCTTCTCATCAATGGCCTGGATCTTGGCCTCTTTTGTGACCAAGGCATCCTGAAGTTCTTTTTGGGCCGCGGCCATCTTTTCTTCGACCTCTTTCTTTTGGGCCTCAAGAACCTTCTTAATGGCCTCTACAGCATCTGTTTTTTCTTCGGCCTCATCTTTAGCTTTAATGGCTGCCTCAGCCTGGTCTGACAAGGTCTTCATCTTTACCTCGGCCTTTTTGATGGTCTTCTGTAAACCAGCAACCTCCCTAATCTTGTCGGCCAACTCCTTCCTCATTTTAAAAGCTTGCATTGAGAAGAAATGGGCGTACTGGATCGCCTGAAAGAAAAGGGACAGAACAAAAGTTAGTAAAAATCTTCTAAGTATGGAAAAATAGAGAAAGAAAAATACCAAGTGTAAGGAACTTACTTGAACGGAATGCTGCAGCATCAAAGCGAAGTTTTTGTATTCGCTCATCTCGGCGTTGCGATTGAGATCATTGGGAATGAGCAAAGCCGTAGAGAAGGAAACGCCGACTTCGAGGTGAGTCACACTGTCGCCAACTCTAACCGGCTTGTCCTCGATGGTGATCGGGGGAGCCCAGGGGGCATCTGGTCATAGGCCCCGAGGTCGTGGCTGACTCGGACCTCAGCCTTTTTGACTAAGTTGATTGGGATGGTTCAGCCTCGGCAGGCCTCTTCTCGGCAGTGGAGGGGGTCTTTTCACTCTCAGCGAATTTTGAAATAAGCAAGGTGTCCTCAGTGTCAATCTGAGTCACCGTTGCCTTGGGCTGAGCTTTCTTCAGTCTTTTAGGCTTTGGCTTTGGTAGAGGCTGGGATTAGGCTGGTTGAGCGTAGACCGTGTCGGGGATGTCGGCTAGAAGATCTTCTGTCACTGTTTTCTTGCGGCCCATCTCCGCAGCGATTGCAGTTTGGCGTCGGTGTCGGCGTTGAGATTGTGGGATTAGTTGTGGAGCTGAGGTAGATGGCTGCTCTGCTGGATAGAGGTTGACCCTTGATCTGGCCGAGATGATGAAGTTGTTGGAGGTGTAGTGGCGGACGGAGGAGACTTGCTCTTCTTCTTCTTCGGAATGTCGGGAAGAACTGACTTGTAAGTCGGGATGAAGTTGAGCAGTAAGAGAGCTCTCCGTCTCTGAACTGGCAGATCCAACAGCTTCTTGAGGTCCTTACTGGAAAAAAAAGACTTGCGAAAGTCCTTGGTGGCTGTGGAAGGGCTACACGAAAGAACACAGACGTTAGAACATACAAAAAGAATAAGTTTTAATAACTTGAAAAATAAGTCTATGTAAAACTTGGTTCTTACCATTACCCTCTACGAATACTGTTCGGCTAAGAGGGTAGAGATGAAGGTCTTCATTTGGAGCGAACTCCCAGTTGCCCGAGACAATGAAGTAATTGTCTCAGGCTCCCTTGTTGGAGTCTGGGAGGTCGGCAACAAGTTTATATTATGTGGACCTCGGTTTAAGATAGTAGATGTAGTCTTTTTCTAATTTAAGGCCATACATGGTATAGCAATACTGGATGTCGGCAAGGGTAACCCTAGCTTTCTTGATTAAGGCCGAAATGTACGTCATTGAGGCCGTTAATTAGAATCTCTTAACTTCACTTGCTGGTCAAACTGTATATTTTATGTGTGTTGAGTGTCAATCAGGTTGTACATTGTCGGAGCATAAAATAAACAAAAAGACAGAATTTGGGCAGAGTTGACTTTCCCGCACGTGCGTTGACTTTTTTTGGGAAAGTCAAACTTGACATTTTAAACCTGTTTGGACGAGATTGGAAGGATAAAAAGGCAAGTAAAAGGCTGGATTAGGGTTCGGAAGTTGTTTTGACCAAAAGAGAGAGGCTAGGGTTTTGAAGGGAGAACAAACAAAAAGCTTCAAGGATGTCTCCCATGGTGGTTTTTTGTCCATCTACCTCCTTTCACTCCTCCATGAGTGGCTAATCTCCTTTTTCTAGGGTTTTGATGAAACCCTAGCTATGTAATTATTTAGTTTTCTTTTTAATTTTTAATTATGTAAAGGTTTGAACATTTGTATGGTGATTTAGAAGTTTGTTTTATATAATTTTCATTATTCTTTCGAATATTTGACTTTCTGTGATTGTTAAATGTTATCCATACAATTGTTTTCTTTTCCTTCACATTCAAGGTATGGGACGAACCATACTACGAGGAACGAGTCGTATCACTACCTTAGTTTAGAGTGAACGGTTCGTATTACTTGAGATGGTTCGTGCTCGTACATTGAATGTGATGATCTTCTTGTTAAATGCTTTGAGCTTGTAGTTGCGAAGCATTAATCCGTTCAAACCATAGCATAATTGATTTCAATTGGAAACCCTAATTATGTGGTTAGTGGTGAATTCTCTACCCTAGGATTTTTCCCTAATTCAGTAAACCCAATTTCATTTATTATTGATAATTTAATTCCTTAGTTTAATTTATTCGTTATTAAATTAGGTTATAAACAACCAAGCTTTTTATCAAAATTAATTTAGGAATTTGACAATTAAATTAGTTTAATTTCACAATAGTCCCTGTGGATCGATACCTAGACTTGCCATTATTCTGATAGAATTTGGTATAGTTTAGTATTTAATTTTGGTGTGTTCAACGACCCATCATTTCTCTTTTTTGGCTAAGGCAATTATACCATTGATAACTCGGTAAGAGTTAATGGCAAGCTGTATCAGGTTCAATTTGTAGTAATGGAGAACTTCTCGAAAAAGGATGTCTAGTGGAAACCTAAGTCTACATTCTGTAAAGGCAATGACAGGGAAAGGCATGAGGTTTTCATCGAGCATGATGGAGTCGTTTTCCCCGGCCAACCTCAAGTGAACGTTGGCCGGGATGTCAAACTCCTGCCTGAAGTATTCTAACTTAGTTGGGATGTCTACCCTATGCCTCCATATATCCATGATATCGGCTTGGGGGAAGGTGTTGGAGTTCAAAAGGAAGTACTTTTGCGAAGGTTTAAGGGACCTCGGCTAAATCCTAAATGTGCACTGTGGTCAGAATTTGTGAGGGTCTAAGAGGGATTCGTTTCAGTTTTCCCTAAGATTTTTGAATTCTACGACAAAACTCAAACCTAATTCTAGGCAAATGAAGGTTGAAGGCAAGGATCTGGAAAAAAACACAGCAAACAGAAACAGGAATGTGATTCAGAATCAAGAATAGTGATGAATTATCAAGAACACAGTGATAAAGTCTGTGCAGGTGTGTAAGGCCAAGAACAGTGGTAAGAATCGACTAATATACAAGCAGTATAGTCAATAATGGATTGGGCAAAAACAGAATCATGGAACAAACATGTTCAATACATGGTGGAATTCAAGATACAAATACATGAGCAGGATTGCATAAGTAGCGAATGAAGCCGTGGAGATCATTAAAGACGAACAAGAAACTAAATCAAGAAGTTAAATCAGAGAGAAACAGTGACTGACCGAAGAAAAAATGAAGCCGGTGTTGAGTACGCTGGAGTTAGATGATGGTAGCGAACGGAGAAGATCAGTAAGAGCCTCGCCGGAGGAGGTGAACGGCGATGGTTACAGAGCTTGAAGAGTTTGAAGCAATGGCGGATTTGGGAGAGGAAAGAGAAAGAGTTTGCACGAGAATGAAGATGCAAAAGTGAAGCGACGAAGAGAGAGGGGAAAGTTTTGTCAAAACTAGAAACGGAGGCAAAAAGGCAATTAATGTGCCTAAGACGACGTACATGTCAGACGGCGCATACAAAAAACGACGCGACTTAGTGGCGCATATTAGGTACAGCCCAGAAGGAGAAAGACGCGGGGCAAGAACGGTTGATTTGTTATACGTGACAGCTCATACGCATGAAGGAGCTCTTGAATTTCTTGATTTAATGGAGCAGTACCTCAGCTTGGAGGATGATCTCGGCTGAGAAACTTAGACAAACCTGGTTAATGGTTCTGAGGCACTGATGAAAGCAGACTATAGGTCTTGGTCATATTGAGTCGACGAATGATGACCTCGGTAATGACGGATAAAGCGAACTTAGCCGATGTGCTAAATGAAAAGAATGATATAGGTTCCATCACATCAGGATGTCGAGGTAATAGAACCTAGGGGCAGTTGTGGGAACATAAATTTTGAATGACGACATGTGGCCAAGGTGTCACCGAAGTGCCAGCCGGGGTGCCACGTGTCCTGGTCATGATGCTGAGATGATCTCGGCTAGGCCGAGGTTATCTGCGAGAATACCGGAATCCAGGATAAACGAATAAGGGACAAGAGTCTTAGAATGAGAGAAGACTTCAGTTTGGATAAAGATAAGATTCTTAGAGAGTTTATCACAATCCTACTGGGAGTTCAAGACTAGCAGCAATCCAGAGTCTATTGAAGCTAGGCTTTTATTGGGACTAGGTTTGTGTTGGCTATAAAAGTGAGATACCCTCATGGGTTTAAAGTACGCTTTTTATATTCTGAATAGTGAGTTAATCACTTTTGCTATTTTTTAGAGATAACTGACTTGATCGTCGTAGTGCCCCTAGGTAGACGAACCACCGCGGGATTCTTATCTTTCTGTGACAGGTTGTTTGGGGTTAATCTATTCTGCTGGTGCTCTCCAGCTGAGTTCCCCTTTTTGGTAGTGTGGTCGGAAATCAACACACACACAGTAAGCAATCTATGTGATCTCTTTCTCTTCAATTTTTTTTCCAACTTTTTTCTCTGGAATTTGTTAGAAATCTGACATAGAATAAAGCTTAAGACCCCCAGTGGGGGTACTGGGGATCACTCCTGATTGGCCAAAAAAAAATATTTTTTTTTTTTTTTGGGTTTCAGCCACTGACAGAGCGCCGTGTGGCACTGGGGGTCACTGGGGGTGCCCCAGCTGGGGGTCGGAATCACGGCCGATCTGACATAGAACCTACAATCATGCCCTCAACTACTTTCAAAAAAAAAATTTACTCTTAAAAATTGAAGTAGTTAGTTGAAGAAAAAGATAGAAAAAATGTTTAAAATAGTTAAAAATAATTATTTTTGAAGTATTTTATTTATCCGTACTTTGGATAATGTAAATATAATCACTCGCCCATAATTGTTTTGTTGATTTTATATAATAATATTAAGATTTAACAATTCTGGAGGAAATAGAAAAAGAAAATTAATCAGTGTGCTTGGTTTGAGTTTTTTGAAATAAATTTTTTGAAAATTGAATTTTTTGGTTTTCGTATTCTTTTATTTTTAGTGAATATTTTTAAAATTTAACTTTTTATTTTTATTTTTTTAGATGCACCTTAGTTAGATGTATCTAAAAAGTAAAAAATTTGTGAAAAAATATTTTAAAAAATTAATAAATACATAGAAATATAAAAAATGTACTGAATTCTTGTATTTTTGATATTTAGTGAATTTTTAAAAGATTTTTTTTACAATTTTTTTACTTTTTAGGTGTGTCTAAAAAGTAAAAAAATTACTTAAAATATTAAAAAAATTCAGTAAAAATAAAAATATACGAAAAATAAGAAAGTAGAATTTTCTGAAAAACGTTTTCTAAAAAATGAAAACAAACAAGCTTAATCATTTTAATCAGAAGTGAAATAGTGTGTAATTTTTGTTGGGTTTTGTTATACAAAAGAGTTACACTTTTATATGTTTATAATGATTCTTAAGCTTCCGTTTGGGAAGTGGGTTGTCTTTTTGACTTTTTGACTTTTTTGGCTATTTTAGCTTGGGCTTAAAAACTTGGTTTGGGAAGGACTTTTTGGCTTTTTGGCTTTTTTAAGTTTTTTTGTGAGAGAAGAATGTAATGATTATGGGTTGGATGTGATGTTTTGTTTGTTATGGCTAAAATAGCCTATTTTGTTTTTTGTGGCTAAAATAGCCAAAAAAGCCTGCAAACCCACTTACCATGTGTGCTGATTTTTAATTTAAAAATTTTAAAAATTAAAGAAAGAAAGAAAGAAAAAACTATGATTGCGTTTGGTAGAGTTTTATAAATATGATTTGAGAGTATGAGTTGTGTTTTAATTTTGTGAGTTGTGGAATTATGATTTGAATGTAGAAAATGTATTTGGTTATGGTTTTGAATTGAATTTTGAATTGTATGTGAAATTGAGTTTTGAAAATTTGATGTGACATATGAAATAAGAAAATTTGTTTGGTGATGAGTTTTCAAAACTTAATTCCACCTATAATTGATAATCAAACACACAACTCATAACTCGATATCCGTATTTTTGATCAACAGTCATAACCAAACTATTTTTAAAATACTCAAATAAAAAATGATTTTTTTTCAATTAATTGTTTTTAAGTAATTTTTTTGAATAATTTTTTTTTCAAATAATTTTTTTTAAATAACTTCTATGTCAATTATTTTATGTCAATTAATTTTTCCGTCAATTCATTTTTTAAGTCTATATAAACATTAAAAATATTTTAAAATTATTTAGAAAATTAAAATATTAAAAATATTTAGAAAATCAAAATATTAAAAATATTCCGAAAATCAAAATATTTTTATGAAAATTAAAATATTAAAAATATTCCTATAAAATAAAATAAAATATTTAAAATAAAATAATAATAAAATATTTAAAATAAAAATTAAGTTGTTTTTAAATTTTGAAAAAAGTTTTAAATTGTGTGTTTGATTATGAATTTTGAAAAGTAATAATTATAATTTAAAATGAATTTTAAGAAATGAGTGTTAAATTATATTTAAAAATTACAATCAAATACAACACTCAAATCCAATCATTAGTGAAACTATATTTTGAAATCTAACCAAAACCTATTTCTTACATTTCTTTGATTTGATAGAATGAAGAAGAATCCCCCAAACGACCGCCATTTTAACATTTAGTTTGCATTGTATTTGTACCCAATAGACAAACATTCTAAGGTTGAATTTGATACCTTTTATCCACAACTAAACTAAACCAATCCTTTGTCATATGCGGCCAACAAGCAACAAAACACAGCAAGCGACGGAGAATCGGTCTCGACTATGTGGCTCCCACTTCTCCCATAAACCCCTTGCGTTCTCGTCTTTCCCCCAACAACAGCATATTTGCAGAGTTTTAGAGAGAGAAAGTGAAGGGGGGAGAGAGAGAGAGAGGGGATTGCGCTAGATCGTCTCGTCCAGAGTTGAGATCGGTCAGTGATCGATTGATCTGTATCAGATTCGATTCATGGACGAGGTGATTACAGCAGCCGATGTGACGTCGTCGTCGTCGCCGCCGTCGTCTCCAGCTGCACTCCTTCCTCCCAACCTCCCTCTGCTCTCTGCATTCCTCGCTTTCGCTATCGCCCAATTCCTCAAGGTCTTCACGACTTGGTCCGTACTGTTTCTCTCTCTCAATTGTGTTTAGGGTTATGAACTTTTGTTACTTGAAGAGTTATTATGTGAACTGGAATTATAGAAAAATGATATGGTCGATTCGAATTTATTCTGAGTACACTGAAGAAACAATAAGGAAATTGGAGACATAGCAATAAGTGTTCACAATAATTTCTATACTCTGTCGGTTGTGTATGTAGGGTGTTGATTGTTTTGAATTTTTAAATGCATTTTAGGTGCTGTCTATGGCAATTCCTGTGTGTTAATTCTCATTATCATTTTGGAGTTCTGGTACTAAATTATTGTACAGTTATGCGATTCATTGATACCTACCCTAGTTATGCATTTGACGTGGTAAAACCATGCTGTTATTTGAAAATTATAGAAATAAGCCACTGGCATGGTGAGAGCGAGTAACATATACTCATGTGCACAAATGGCATTCCTTTCAACTTCAGCTACTTCTGTAGTGAATGAAAAGCTTTATCCTAACAGATTTATTGCATGTGTATGGAATGTCTTGCCTGTTTCTTTGTGTTCAGGAGATGGAGACCCTCGGACTGATAATTAGAGACTTGTTGTGTTGTGCTGCTTTTCCCATGGTATTTCTTCCTAGTGTAGTACCCATAATTTTAGGCCCATTGGTGCAGACTGGAGATGACAATCACACGCCTTTATAAAGTTCTATTTTTAAAAATTTCTCCGTACTTTCCCATTGTTCAGTAGAGACGATAGTACAAAATTTTATCAGAATGCTTAATGCATGCAGGCCAAGCAAATCCGCTAGTTAGCTTATATTAGACTGCTAATTTAACCCCTTTTTTTTGGTAAGTAACCAATTTTATTACTGAAAAAGAAAGAATATACAATGTACAATAAATTTCAAGACTCAACCCCAAAGTGCATACCAAAGTATAGCCAATAAGCCGACACCTCCCCATTATGAGGGAAATGCACAAAGTAGCCTGGAAAGAAAGTCTAGCCAAAAGACAGAGCCATAACAGTACAAAAGGCAGAAAAACAACATTTAAAAATAAAAATAAATAAAAAATTGTATTTCCCTCGTAAGTTTGAAACTTTGAATCTTCTAATTGAGTTTCTTCTGGTTTTCACTCCGTGACAAAGGTGGGCTATCCATATTTCCCATTTACTCCGCCTTTTTGATGGATATGTGTCTTTGATTCAACAACCATTTCAATGGCACCATTCGTATCCTCTCATCGACACCACTCACGAACTTACCGTAAGCGGGCTTACATTGAGAGATCACATTTTCATCCATGCTTTTAACACTACCTTGGGAAGATGTACTGAAAGCCATACCCTTTATAACTCCATGTTTCACACTTCTTGAATAAGTATAACAAAATAGTTGGATTTTGAAGTCAAATTACTTGGTCCATGCACTGTAATGTTCTAGGGGATGAGATCATGAAGTTATTAAACCTTTATAATAATACTATTTAGGTTAAATTATACTTGGTATTTCTCATCTTATTTCAGAAATTTTGATTTAAGAGATCTTTTTGGGTCTCTAAAACCATAAAAATAAACCACTTTTTCAAGTATTTTAATAGTTCCATATTTCAATCCTCTTGCAATGCTTTACTATTTTTTGTTATTTGATTGTTGGAGATTCATTTAAGTTGTAAATTTTAGTAATTGCAGCAATGGAACTTCAAATTCGATTGTTTAACTGCATCACTATTCTCCTTGGGATGGATTTTGGTTGCTTCAGAATTCTGAGCTTTATGGAAATTGATCGAACTGAAGAACTCAATGCATATATTTTTCTGGTGTAGTAGCTCATTGTTTTCAACATGTTTCTCCTAGATGATCAGGTATACAGAAAAGAAATGGGATTCTAAAAGGATGATTGGTTCTGGTGGAATGCCGTCATCACATTCTGCCACTGTGATGGCTTTAGCAGTAGCTATAGGTCTGCAAGAAGGAACAGGAGGACCAACTTTTGCCATTGCAATTGTCTTGGCATGTGTTGTACGTATCTTAAAATCCGGTTTTATTTTTCCTATTTGTTTCTAGTTTCTTGTTTCTGTTCTGGCATTCTTATGTTTATTATTTCTGAATTCTCTGATGGCTAAGTTATTTGCAGTTTTTTATATTGCATTTGAATTGATTGATTCCATTTTTTATATTATGACATCTTTACTCGAGGCTTTATTAGATTTGAAGCTAATTTTTACAAATTACAATAATCATGTTGTTATGATATTAATGTTTTTGCTTTTGTAATATGTATCTAGGTTTGTTCTAAAATTTGATCAACTCTCTGACAAGGTTTTCCGTGTACTTATTTGAACATCCTTGTGATCTTGTTGAAATTTGTGCAGGTTATGTATGATGCTTCTGGGGTCAGACTTCATGCTGGTCGACAAGCCGAAGTAAGATTGCTTATCATAATTAAAGAGAGATGCCCTTTTAGGAATTTTTTATTTTTTATTTTTTATTTGTAATAAAAGGTGCATCAAAAGAGAGAATTAATCATACAAAAGTCTAGAGTACTCAACCCTGCAAGAATCATCTAGGAATTCTTTTATCACTTACAAATTTTGTAACAAGTATTGAGTTTATGTGCTCATTGGTGTTTTTCATTGTTCATTTCATTTTTAATTGCTGCGTACATCATTTATCTATCCACAGTAGGATCTATTGGTGTTTTGTATCGATATTTACAATTTCCAGTTGGCTGTTCTTTCAAGTTATCCACCCCACAGTTTCCTTCCTCTCTTCATTAATTTCCTGAAGTAATAGATGCCAATATGTACTGCCTGATACTTGAATAGATAACTTTGGAAGGCACATCCAAAGGCTCAAAAGTGTCTAGAAGTTTGAATCAATAGATGATTTTGCCAGCAAGGATCTTTTCTGTTTATCTTTTCTCATTTTGCAATCTATATCGGGAACTTGCTGTTCAACTTTTTAATTCTTATGGTAGATATTCTTAGGAAATGTAAGTCTTTTATTGCCATGTAATCGAGTTCAATTTCCTGTTCAATTACTTAACTTTAATATCTTGAGTTTTGTTTTTTAATGTCACATTTTCTTTCTCCCCATCCATTTAACTCTTGTTACAAGTAGAGTTTGAATGCTTTTCCAATCCTTGTCCCAATTGATGCTGTGGTTATGGCTATTACTTGGAAAGAAAAACTAGGAGAAGTCTGTAAGAATGAACTAGATGGTTGCTGTAACTATGCATTGCGTTCATCAGACAACTTGCAGAAGTGTTCAAGTGTGCTCATGTTGTCTACACTTTATTTGATATATGGACCAATGTGTGGTGTGGTTCTAACTGTAATCAATCTTTTGTTTTATTATTAGGCGCCGTTTGTTTTGAGAGATAGAGGTTGGATTGGGATTGAGATGGAGGTGGGACTCACTATATGTTGTGTTTGTTTTGGGAGATAGATGGGGGATTCATAATCCCATGGGATTAGGATGGGCCTTAGGCCCCGTTTGTTTTCAGAGGTAAAATGGAAAGGATTGATGGTGAGGGGATTGATAGTGAGGGAATTAAGTAAAATTGTGTTTGTTTTGATGATAGTTGTTAGCGTAGGAATTGTTAAATTATTTTTATATAAAATAATAAAACAAAAAAAAATACAAAAAATTAAACATTAATATTCAAAAAAAATGCCCAACATGTAAAAAATAAAAAATTTCTAGTCCGGCGGACTATTTTTCTAATACCACCTCCACTTCCTCAATCCCAATCTCCCTTCCAACCTCCATCCTAATCCCTTCCTCCATCTCAATCGCTTCCCCAACTCTACAAACACAACACTAAATGGGTCTCACCTCCATCCTAATCCCATCCCTACCTTTACACTCCAAAACAAATAGGGCCTTAGTGTTGGGATTGAAATGGAGGAGGTGGAGATGGTATTAGTGTCACGATCCAAATCCGCCCCTATGGGTTTAGTATCGTAACCGGCCAGTAATCCTTGGATTACTAAAGGCCTCTTGACAGATTAACATATAGTTAGAGGTTTACGGAAGTAAATATACAAAATATACGTAGTTCATTGAGCTGTGAAGACATACATGAGACGTATAATTTTAAACTTTTATAAATTTACGAGTGATGTCAAAAGATATAACATTTACATATCACTCCTAGAAGTATAATATCAGAAATCTTGTCCAAAAGCTTAACAAAACAGACAAAGTCTAATATGATTACAAAAACAGCCACAAAACTTGACTTCATTCGGAACCTCCTCGGGAGGCACAAAGGTTGGCTGATAAAAACTGAAACATAGACCGTCAACTCTGGGCCTGGTCACGTGCCTGCTCACCTACATAGATAATATAAATAGTGAGTTGAAGTCCAGTGAATAATAACAAAGTAAAGAATTTTAATGAATGATGCCCATCACAGACTTCAAATCTCATGGTAAATCAAAATCATAATCAGGTAGCAGAAACAGAATCATAGTCTTATCCATATTCAAATCATGTGTGGTACATCCATTAGCATAAACATGTCTCTTTGGTCAAGCATATCAAGTTCCATGAAGGACCCTCCGGTACCGGGTAACATATCTCATATATCGACCACGATATTCTTTCCTCCAGGCGAGGGCCTGTGCCACGATATTGTTTCCCCCGAGCGAGGGCCTGGGCCATGATATTATTCTCTAGGCTAGGGCCTCATGACCATAAGCCACAATATTATGTCCCCTGGGCGAGGGCCTCTGCTAAGGATACTACAATTTCATTTCAAAGAAAAGTTAACGTAGCGTTTCAGAAAACTGATCATTTCATATTATCAGAAAATAATTATAGTCAAACATAACTTTACAGAGTTATTACTCACAGATAACCAGTGGCTCCAAATAGATGAGTAGAGTAGGTAATTCACTTATCTTGAGGTGCGTGACCTACATAACATGACAGATACATACGTTGAATGTGCACGCTCGGATTGAACATAATTTATTTCTTTTGTTCTTAGTGTGTTACTAGCCTTTAACCTCATTATAATGTCTTAATCATGGCCTAGGAATGCCTAGGATGGAATAAGGTTGCAAAATTGCACTTGAAAATGTTTTTCAAAACTTGCTAAAAAGAGGGGTCTCACTCGAGCGTAGCTTCCTTTGCTTAAGCGGACATATTAAATATGAGTGGTCACTCAAGCGCACACTCCTTCGCTCGAGCGGTCTGCAAAATGTGAAAAAGTTCTGGTTGCGTGCATTTTCCGCTCAACGCTCACTCGAGCTTGAGACACAAGTCCTTGCTCGAGCGCAAGTCTTGTCGCTCGAGCGTGCTACAAAACACGTAAACTTCTGAGAGCATGCAATTTATGCTCAAGCCGCCCTTTTGTCGCTCGAGCGGGAATGTGAAAATAAAGGTGGTCGCTCGAGCGTGGAAGCAAAATTCTGGGTTTTTCAGATTTGCTTCCAAAGTTCAAAACATGAATTCAACACTCCAAAACTCATCCTCTTGGGCCAAAATTCCGGAAAACATTTAGGAACTCACAAAACATCATGATTTAAAGATCATTTCATGAAATCAATGCCCAAAAGCATGCCAATTGTTCACAAATTCAACTTAAACTTTATGGATGTTCTAAAAACATGACATGCATGAAATGATTTAAGTTTCAAGTCTCCAAATCATGATCAAATGAAATGAGAGGATGTAAAACATGATGAATTCCTACAACTAAGTTCAATTTATGACATGCATGAGAGAATTTCTTAGTAAACATGCTCCAAATATAATGAAATGTACATGCATGTATGAATTGATCTTCCTCTCTACTTCTTAAGCTTGATTCTTACATCTCATAGTTAAATTCACTTGAATTCATGGATGAATTGACTCAATTTCAAGACTAGAGACTTGGCTTCTTACCTTAGATGCTCAATTGGGCCTTAGGTGCTAAATTCTTGAGATAGATGATCAAATCTCCAAAGTTCTTCTTCTTTTCTAGCAATTCCTTTTAATTGAGTTCAATTCTCAAGCCTAGGACCAAATCTTCCTACTCTCTCCCTCTCTCTCGTTTTTGGGCATCAAATTGAGGTAGTGAGAGCAAAAATAAACTAGTAAAGTCAAGTGGGTCTTAAATAGGCTTCATGGAATTGATTTAATTAGTTTTGGCTTAAGCTAAGCTAAGTAACATTAATTATTCTAATTTAATCGTTCCAAATCGAATTTTAATTAAACTTATCATAAAATTCTATAAATTCTACATAACACATATACTAAGTCAATTTCTGTATCGAATGCCAATAAGACCTTTAATTCGCAGAACAAAGTATAAACATGAACAGATCTTTTTACGTCAAACAGATATAAACACAAAATGATGCGATGCACATGTAATTAATTCCAATTTTGATCTTAACAACTTATTAGACATAAGAAATCATGGTTTAACTTTAATCATGAGTCAGGATTGTTACAATTAGGAAATCAGTCCCGTGGGATTAGGTTTTTTGTTTTTTTTTTATTTTTTATTTTTTTATTTACATGTTGGGAATTTTTTTTTAACATTAATGTTTAATGTTTTTGTATCTTTTGTTAAGTAAAAATCATAATTTTATTTGTTTTAATATTTTTTTTTTTATAAGGTAATAATTTAACAATCCCCACATTAACAACTACCATCAAAATAAACACAATTTTACTTAATCCTCTCACTATCAATCTTCTCCATTTTACCTCTGAAAACAAATGGGACCTATTTCTTTCCGATAAGAGAGTATTTCCCCTCACTATAAATCCACTTACTATCAATCTCCTCCATTCTACCTCTAAAAACAAACGGAGCCTATTTCTTTCTGATAAGAGAGTATTTATTTATTACCAAAAAAGTAGTACATGATTAAGGAAGGCATTCCTTTCATTACAAGAGGAGCAGCTAATGATGCTAAAAAAACGTAAGGAAATATTCCAATTCTTACAAACTGAAAAATTAAGAGCATAGCATTTGACTGCATGAAATTGAGAGGATCTAATCCTGACATTATGCTTAATTTGTTGCAAAATCAGAGGAGGGGTTCTGTGAAGACCTCTGAATGTTCTCCGATTCCTTTCCTGTCAAATGTAATAGATCATTGCAGCCAAGCAAGCTTCCTAACAATATTATGAAAGCTTTTTTCACTAAATTTGCCAACCAACCAGTTAACTTCAGCCTGCCAAGAATGATAGGGCTTACCTGCATATCAGGTTCAGCTCTTTCTCTCTCATGGCTGTTACTGAAATTACAGGTAGGCATTTGTATAAGTGTTGAGGTTTTGCTATTTTACGGATTTTGAGGTCTAGGAGAGTTTTTCTTCTTTCACTGCAGCTTCCCTTTTCTTTCTTCCGTTTCTTCATAATTATATATTGCTGTGTTTAAACTTTTTTCTCATCTAGTTTCGGACTCGAATAAGTTTTCCAATTCTAATCTGAACATTGGTGTACTATTGATTTGACTATGCATGCAAGAATTTATGCAAGAAGGTAAATAGGTAGATATAGATGTGGAGCATAAAACTTTTTATGTTATTGTGTTCTTATGTCTATCTCAATCCATGTCAATCCATGCTATTTGCAGTTGTTGAACCAAATTGTATGTGAATTTCCTCCAGAACACCCTTTATCCAATTCCAGGCCTCTGCGTGATTCACTTGGGCATACTCCGCTTCAGGTTCATTAACATTATGCTCTAAATGCTTATATCTTAATTTCTTTAAGGTTGTAATTTTTTAATTTTCTTTTTCATTGAAATTGTAATATTGTACACAGTTACAAGAAAAAACCCTTTTTGTTGCAAACTTTCAACTTGATTATACATATGTACGATAGTTAATAGACATAAAATGTTGATGTAAGCTCTGAAGAAATTGAGTTGGGATTTAAAATAAGGGTCATGACAAGATATATATGAGTTTGTGCTGTAGTAAAATCTGATGATATTGTGATGGGAATTCAGAATGTTTATTATCATGTTTGGTCTACTAAAAAAAGTAACAAAAAATACATTGTAAAAGGTATGTCATTCACCATTGTAAGGAATGCTTATTCTATATGGGAACTAAAGAATGATCATTTCTTTATTCTATTGAACCAAAGACTACCTAAGAATCCAAAATACGCCTCTGACAAAGGTTTTGACTGCTAAAACCTTCTGTGTTACTCTCCTATAGAAATTTCGTCTTCCAAGTGTGGAAGAAATTTAAAGTTCTTACGTTATCATAGAAAAAAAGTAGGTACTACTTTTGGAAAATATGCTGTATCCTCCATTCTACACTTCTTGCCACTGTTGTTCATGTCATTATTATTTTTCATTTAGAAATAGCTAAGCAGTTGGTTGGTTCACCATTCTTTTTTCCACATTGATAGTTTTAGATTTATTATAAATGCTGTCCTTGAAATGATTTCCATAAAATTAGATGGAGCACAATGCTGTGCTTGATTTCGAATCCTAGGAAAAGGAAACTTTAAATATCATCATTAACTCTCAAATCTCAACCTATTATTAGGTTCCAGAGTTATTATTTATTTTTGCATGTTGCTTGGAAAACATATTAACCACAAGCTTACTGTATCTTCTTCACTTGCAATTTGCCACAAAATACAGTTGTTAGTGGCTCTCAGTGTGTTGGTCTTTCTTTGTTTTCCATTTTCAAAAGGGGAGGAACATGACCAAAGAAGAAAAAAAAATGAAAATCATCCTCAAAATGGCTTATTGAGCTTTCATTATATTTTTCCCCTTAATAAAACATAAATAAATAAAAAAACTAAGTTTAGCAGCAATGAATTTTCTTTGGTGTGGTACAGGTTCTTGCAGGAGCCATGTTGGGATGCCTAGTAGCATATCTAATGAAGAACTCCAATTAGGTGGGTGGCGGACCATGCAGTATCACTGAGACCGATTCAATCTCTGTGTCACCAATTTGTTGTTGTAGATAGATATGCATATCAATATTAGCTAGGAAGATTATACAGGACTGCTGTAAAATCAGCTCTTAATTGCATGAAGTAAGTTAAATTGGATAGTGTTTTAATATTAGTTTCTGTTGATGTTTATACAAGTAGTATGTATGAAAGTATATGTACTATTCCGTGAATGACTCTTGAAAATTAAGAGATGCTTGGTGGGTTTTTGCTGCATCAACTGCGGATAACTTCATATACATTGTTGGACTTAATTTTTAATTACTCAAGTTTTTAGGATATTTGGTTATTTAACATGGTGTTCGAGCAAAAGTTGAAAGAGTTTGTAGGTTGAAGTTTCTCTGTTTGCATTTGTTCTTCATTTGCATTATGCTCTCTGTGTGTGTGACTATTTTTATGAAGTCAATAAACATTTGCGATGTGGAGTGCGCAACTTTGGACCAATTGGAGTCGCTGATTTGTTCATACACTCTTTGAAGAGTTTCATTTTCTAGCTCTTTTGCAATGGATGTGACAAATGATTTTTTTTCTTGAAAGAGATAAATTATTTAGTGGTCTTGAGATGAGCTCATATGACACTCTAATATAATATTTATTAATTAAAATAGTAGAATTCAAAAAAAATTATTGAATATTTGGAGACAATTTGACACATGACAAATGTGTATTACAGCACCACCAAATAACGTCTCCTTGAAAGGGGTTTGAGGGGGTTAAGTCGTTGTACTCAAGGCACAATTGGGCTATTGTTTAGTAATGGGATACACCTTAGTATCAATTTCAATGATCTGAATAGATTGTCTTGTAAGATTTATTGAGTCAATTATTCATATAAAAATTAAATTGATTGAATATTAATGATCATACAATCGATATATATATATATATTTTACAATTTAATTACCAAATTCAACCTCAAATTTTAGATTAAAATTTATACATCCAAACATATTATAATAGTCACCATCCCCTTCGATAACTGGTCTTGGCTTTGGAAGATTCGAACATCGCCTAGAATATCCCATTTCCTCTAGCTCACTCTTCATCAATGCCTTAGTACCAAAGACAACCTCTGCCTCCGCCGAATCACCAGCGACTTTACCTGTGTCCTCGCTACCTTATCCAACCCGAAACCACCACTCACGTCCCTAGGGACTACAAATTTGCCAAATACTTCTGGGATGCTCTCCAAATCCCAACCTATGCCCTACCTTCTTTCGCCCACCCTCTTGCTGGTTGGATTAAATCCAACTGTACTTCCAACCTAACCCGCCATTCATTTGCCGATTAGTCAATTCTCTTTCCAATCTCTTACTGGTTCATTTGGAAAAATTGAAATTCTTGGTGTCTCTCCACCTCTAACCCTCGCTTTCTTAACCCCTCATTGGCCATTGCCTCTGCCATCGAATAGCAATATCTTTCCCCAACCAAGCAACCTCACCCCTCTCCACCAATCGTTATCTCTTGGCTACCCCCCAAACCTAGCCTATTCAAATTCAATACCGATGGTGCCTCAAAAAACAACCCTGGGCTTGTCGCTGCTGGTGGTATCATTATGGACTGGATGGGTAAATGGATTTTTGGTTTTTGGCGCAACGTTGGCTACCCGTCCAGTCTTGAAGCCGAACTATGGGGCATGCGAGATGGATTTAAACTTTCCCTTGACCTGAATCTCACAGGAATAGAAGTTGAAACAGACACAACCATCATGAAAAATCTCATTCTTGGTAACTCCAACAATTGTCATCAACTTAGCAATCTAATTCATGAATGTAGGTACCTCCTGGACCCACTCGGAACCTTGACTATTAGCCATACATATCATGAAGGAAATAAATGCCTGGACTTGCTTGCCAATGAAGGATTTAATCACAAGGGTCTACTTATTTTCTCTTCTATTCCTAACTGTATTTCATTTCAAGTATTTGAAGACACTGGGGGTACTTTTAAGGGAAATTTGGCCATAAACCCCTCCTAATTTCTTTTTATTATTAAAATGACAAAAAAAAAATTAGCACTTTCAATACCCCCTTATAATTATAAACTCTGTATAAATGACAAAATTTGTTATTTTAATATTTTATTTGACCATTATATCCTCTCTTTCTTTTACAACACACCCTCTCTCTTCACCAACTCCATGGTTGTTTATCATCTCCACCATCTTCATCGTTTACCAGCATTGCTCATCCTCATAGTCGGCCAGCAACCACCATTTTTACCGTCAAACCACCACAATCTCAGATTTGATACTTACGAACTCATATTCGAGATCAATAACTTTAGATTTGAAATAATAAAAAAAACTTAGATTTGATATAAAAAAAAATGAGAAATCAAGATATTATAATAAAAAATTAGAAGTTTTTTTGTTTGTTTGTTCATAGGTCTAAAAGTAAAATTCAACTCTAGTTCGTTCATTTAGTATGTACTCTATTTTTTGTAACAGTAAAATTTTACTCTAGTTAATAGCATGTTGATTTGTTTAACGACAATAATTTTTTACTTTGAATCATTGTAAATTTTACTCTGAATCAGGGTAAATTTTTTATTTTATTTTATGTTTTAATTACAGAGTAAAATTTTATTCTAAAACAAACTGCGAGAATGACTTTATAGAAGAGTGTTGTATTGTGAATCAGAGTAAAATTTTACTGTTCAAAGAATAGAGCATCATGAGAAGAAGAAAGAGGAATAGGGAGACAGATAGAGGATCATGAGAAGAAGAAGAAGAAGAGAGAGAGAGAGCATGAACCATTAGAACCAGAGAGAGTGAAAGATCTTAGATCTCAAGTTTGCGAACCATCGGGAACCGTTATTTTCTAGCGACGACAACTGTAAATGATCTTAGATCCGAGGTTGTAGATGCGACGAGTGACAGTGGCGATGAAGACAGTAGAGAAAAAGTTCCATGGTAAGCGGCAGTGGTATCAATAGAGAGCAGCAATGGCGCTAACGGAGCGTAATAGTGATAAGAGTGAGATAGATAGAAGAGAGATTGAGATGAGAGAGAGTGATTGCAATTTGGCACACACACACAAACACACACACACATACACACACCAGCAGCAACAGAGTCCTAGCAAGCAAGAAAGTTGAATCGGAAGCTAATTCGACGGTGAGAAAAGTTTGGTCCCAATCCCAGACGAGAAGCTCTCTCTCTCCAAAACCCTCACCATACCCGAAAGTAAAACCTCTCTCTCTGTTTTGTGGATTGGATTATCATATTATATAACTCTCTCTACAACCGATTAAGTTTTTTGGGTTTGTAACAGAAGATTCAGATCTTGATGCTGAAAAGAAATCAGGCGACCCAACTGGCAAAGGTAATCTCTTTCCCGCTTAAATTCGATCACTTTCTCTCTCTACTTCTCTGTCTCTCTCTGTTTCTGCATTTCGAAACCCTAGATCTGGATTTCTAGCGATGAACAATGAATGTAAAAAATTGATGTTGAGTGCATTATTTAGAACTAATTAATGAATTTAACTATGTATGTTTCAATGACAGTTGTGAAAGTAATTGACTCATTGATAAATTTAATTATATTTTTTTGTTGCAATGACCTTAATAATTCTTAAATTAAAAAAAAAATGTGTTCATTATTCAGGAAAAAATGTGCACGCATTGCATGTTATAACAGATAGATAGATAGATACTACAATCTGGGTTGCTGTATTTGGAGATTGCAAATTTGAATGAAGGACACAAAGCCAAAGCCAAACTTATGGGTCATTTACATTGGGCTCCATAGTAAAACCCACAATTTTTTGAATCAACTGATCTGAATCAACTGATCACAATTTTTATTAGTTTTTGGTTGTAGTGAACAATCTTCTTCCAAGATTTATAGAGTGTGTGCTATATATATATAAAATCTGCATGTTGGATAGATTGTAAATTTGTAATTCTTGGTGGCGTGAAGTTCTGGTTTTCTTCCCTTTTGGGGCTGTTGAAATTGAATTCAAACAAAAAGAAAAGGGAAAAGAAAAGAGAAAAAAAGTAGAAAGAAATTATCATAAGAGGTTTCTTGAGAATACCCTTATTTTTTATTTTGTGTTTATTTAAATTATTTATTCAATAGATTATTCACATTGTTTATTCTCAATAAATGATGCAACACTCCAGTAGGTCATATTTGATGACTCCCAGCTGGAAAAACTACTTCAACAAAACAACTATATTGGATACAATCATGTTGAAATAAGCAAGCATAAGCATATACCATCTAAATCAAATTCAAACATATAATGAGGGTAAATTCATATCCATTCATATCTCATCAAATAAAATTTCAGAAGCATATGAGACAAGGAACATACACTTCTTTGAATTCTTTAAGTTTTTCCTGAGAATGAATATCTTTGGTGAACAAAATGCATGAATCTCCATCCAGTGATTTTCTCTTTGACCCTGAGATGTTGGAGGGGCAGTGAACACCATTCTGCAGTTCATGCTTATTGGCTTCTCTTTCTGTTGTCAACCCATTTCTTCCATGACTATTTTCAGGCATGCCTGCTTCTGCAGACTTAACAGGTGCACTCTGGCTTTTACCATTCCCATTTGCTGAAGGAAATGCATCGCTGTTCTCACCATCAATTGCTTCAACTGTTTTACTTTTTGTAACACCATTTCCATTTACTGATGACATATTCTTCTCACCCTTCTCCATAGAAATTGAGGGTTTCAAATCCCCGCTCTTTCCGTTGGATTGACTTTTATTAACAATTTTTCCATTAACAGTTGCAGGAAACTTTTTGGTAGCAGAATTTCCAAAGCCACTCAAGTTGTCCTGTGGACCAGAAAGCATTGACCTTAGATCTGGTCAAATTATCCTTTACAAAAGAATGATCAACAGTTTGTTTCGTGGACACTGCTTTTGTTGAATGAGCTACACTTGTGGTTTGCTTCCAATTTGAAAGATTGTTTGATATCCTATATTCCCAATTTATACTGCTGAGTTGTTAATTTATTTATTTATTTATTGGTTTTTTGTTTTCTTAATTTTATGTGTGTTTTTTTTTAAAAAAAAATTCAACATTCTTAAAATCTGTTGTTTTTTTAAAATAACAGTATTAAAATTTATTTTCCCTGAATTTCTACTTTTTATTAGAACTTAAAAATTCAGAGATATTTTTCCCCCTTTAACAAGTTTCAAACTAGCATGAATAAACATGAAAAGCTTGACATTAATTTAAACCAGGAATGGCCTCTTAAAAAAGCCTTGCATTAAACATGGTGCAAATCCAAGGACACTCCTGGAATCCTGGTTTTAGTACAGAAAAAAATATAGACAGATAACTTTCCACTGTTTGGTATCAGAGTAAATGCTGGTTTATGTGAGGAAATTTTCTTCTTCATGATGAAGTAAAAAACATTCCCCTTTGTACATTCCTCTCTATCTGGTTCAATTGTTGATAATTTGAGTTATAATTTTAGTTTAGAATTTGGGTTTATATATGCATTGGTTCAATTGTTTATATATGCAACAAATATAGTTAGTTTCTAATTCATTGGTTCAATTGTTAATTGTTCATTCTGCAAATTCAAAACACACCTGAAAAATTGGAGGAGCCTTAAAAATCACGATATCTGAAACTTCAGGCTTTCTAAAAACATACAAAACCTGAAACACCAAAACCATCAGCAAACATCAACTCAATATTCATGAAAGTAAAGACTCTCATCTTTAACCACCAGAAATCTTACACTTAAGTTATACATAAAACCAAATGAAGTATCTTTTATCAGTTGGGTAAATTATCGGAAACGATAACATCAATAAAAAGGCAATAAATTTGTAACACGCATATTATTTACAGTCAACATTAACCAAAAGGAGAAATATTAGAATGACATTTTACATCTGTGACAGAATGCCAAAACATTGTTAATATCGATGGAGAGCACAAGTTGAAGAACCGCTATTGTACTGCAAGGAAAAATATGTACGAAGCATTAAAACATCTGTCTGAATATACTTCGTGAAAAGAATCAGATAATATATGAGTTGATAAAAAGGACAGCATAAAAACTATTAGACTAATTATCTGACATTGCCTTCCTAAAGGTTTTCAGCATAAAGCATGAAGCTTCACAAAGTGAATTATGCCTTTAAAGAAATTGGGATTGTTAAAATAAATTAGAAGCTAGAACACAGCAAACAGGTTACATTTATTGAAAGCAAACAAGATAGATTACATTTATTGGAACCCAATTTCGAAGATCCAACAGTTACTTCTTTCATTTGACGATCCGGATTTTCTCAAAACTTAACTGTTTTGTTGGGTTTAACTTCTGATTAAGGGCGTATGAGGGGTTTCGTAGGTATTGAATCTATGCTTGGATTGTTTATTTATGTTAAGGGTTATGGGTATTGATCTGAAGGGAAAAAAATGATTCTTTGTTTGTAATTTTGTTGTGTGATCTGTTTTTTTGGAAGGTTGATGCTAGGTTTGTTGGACATTCATTCTAAATGAGAAATGGTTTTTATTTGGTTTAATTATCATGTTTTATGAGTTTTGAGTTCATTTATTAGATCCCTATTTTTCTACTATTTTCTGTCACTTTCTCGCAATTTCTTGGGCTGTTTTGCATTCTCTCTATCAGGCTGTGAATAGGTTATTTTATGGTTGTGAACAGGTTATTCAAATGTTGGTTTCAGGTTATTCAAACAATCTGCTCTATTTTTATTTTGTCTCTATGGTTTAAATTGATGTTGGCTGCTATCATATACCTAATGGGTTCTTCCAGATTTGATTGTCCCAATATTACATTAGTTTTGTTACTCATATTGAAATTTTGGAATCATATGTAATGTAACTCATTCTGATTTCTTTTTATTTCTTCCTTTGATGTATGCATATTCATTCTTTGGTTTATGAAGTTTCAAGGAATGAGGGCCAGCTACCCTATTTTTCTACTATTATCTGTCACTTTCTCGCGATTTCTTGGGCTGTTTTGCGTTCTCTCTATCGGGTTGTGAACAGGTTATTCAAATGTTGGTTTCAGGTTATTCAAACAATCTTTTCTATTTTAACTTCTAACAATTTTATACTCCTATAGTTCACTTGGTCACCAAATTTGTATTACTATTGTTTTAGAATATTATTGTATTTAAATTTGTTTTTTTTTTATTTTTAATATTTAACATGCCGAATCATTAAATTCTTAACAATCTTGAAGGTGATAGAAGAAAAAATGTCCATGTGAATCCTCCTCAGATAAAACCTACTGTGTTTGAAATCATATTGTTAATTTCCTCAAATGTCAGGATGGCGACGAATATGGAAGGAGCGAGTATCTGCGGGAACAAGGGTGCAGATGAGGGCCGATTTGCCAGTTATGCAGGAGGGGACCCCCATGGAATCTGAGTCTGTGGGACCCAAACCACGGCGCCCATCTAACCGCATGATTCTACCATCTATCAGTGCTCCTGAACAAAACATCCTTCAACTGCTTGAAGAATGTAATGCATCTGGCATCTGAAGTCACATGTTGCCAATTCATAATTGGAAGTTTTTGCTATCATAATTGTTGTATAAAGTTGACAATCTCTTTTATTTTTTTACTTTCTTTTTTTTTTCAGTTTCTCTTTTTGTCTGCCTTCAATCAGTTGCTTGAGAATATGTATTTCCAAATGGAATTTTTTTGAAATCACACAATATGTATGTATACATTTGACAGATGATTGAAATATGAATTAGCTGGTACAGTGCAATGTTGTCAAGTTTGCTTTTGAAGTTAATAGATGTTACTGTTAGGAGAATTTTTCTAATTCTCACCAAAGACTTAGACCATGTATAACATTCTCCCTTTCCCATAGAGAAAGAAGAACATGACAGATCTTTATTCGAACTGGCAGTGCTGCTTTCAAAGGCTATTTTAATCCATGGACAGTGGATGTCACCACTTTAAGACTGTGTTTGGATCTTGGATTAATGTTATCAACGAACATATCTCAGCTACTTAAGTTTTCCAATCGAAGGCTTTAGCTGTGCACAAAGCTTTTTTGATGGCTAACCAAGTGGCTAATGCTTCTTCTGGAGTTTTCCTTTGTCACTCCTAAGCTCAGGGGTTATTGGATTGGTTTTGTAGGCAGGTCAACAAATTTTAAACTACAAGTCAACTAATCCGATCAGCTCAACTTGCTTGCGTCTTCTCAAGCTGCTCAGATTGGTTTGAGTTGGCGCGGAATGATGAGAGGATGATTTTTATGCACACCCCTAAATGTAAGCAGGGTCAGGGTATGTTAATGAACCCTAAATGAACCATTTCGTATAGCATCCTCTCTTAATTTTTATTTATTTGCACAAAACACAAGTTCAACTTACCTGTACACACACATATGTATATTTTGTGTTCTGATAGAAGTGTTTCAATTTGGGAGAAGTGCAATTTATCTTAGGAAGATTTTTTTTTTTTATTAAAAATATCAAAAATGTTACATATTCTTAAAAAAATACAACTTTATAATTCTGACTCACCTGTGATTGGTCTAGAAAGGAAAAAAAAAATAAAAATATATGATTGGTTTACATCATTTTGAGAGTCATGGATGTTCCTAATTTTGGGGGTTCCTGAAATTTATTTGGGTTTCTAATAAATTGGTGTTTCATTTAAGTTTCATGTCTTCATTTAGGGATTTTTCTTCTTCCCATGAATTCATTACCTACTCTTTGAAAAGAGAAAAAAACAAAACAAAACAAAACAAAACAAAAAATTTGAATACATCACTCTCTAATTTTGATTTATATTTTAATGTCATCATTAATTGCACCGTGCCTTCAGGCACGGGCATACGCTAGTATATATATATGAGGGTATTATAGTAAAAGAAACAAAATTCAAAATACTATGAGGTTTTGAAAGGATCTGTATAATTCTTATCCTTTTAAAAGGCAAGTTAGGCACTGAGGGATCTATCACCAAATCTCCCTACTTTTAATCCTAGAAATGTAATCGCTTAACTCTTTATTTATCTAATTTTGATCTTCATTACCAAAAAAAAAAATAAATAACAATCTTTAAAATGAAATAATAACAATTTTTTTAAGCTTTTTGTGTTTTTTTTTTTTTTGCTTGTAAAAAATAATAATAATAATCTAATAATATAAAAATTAATTACAAAATTCCTTTTTGTGAAATTTACATCATATGAAAAGAGCTGTATCTTTGCAAATAAAAATGTCGAAAAATAAATAATAAAAAAAGAATCAATTAAACGGTAATATCACTGCTCCATAATTGAGTCCAAGTTTTTTTTAGTATGGACAATACACATATTTTTATGGGAAATTTACTTAACAACGGAGTAGGAAAAAAAAAATTATAAAAATATGGAGGGTGTAAATGATTTTATGATGCGATATAAGTGAAAAGTTATGGGGTACAAGTCTCAGTTACACCTTTCTATGTTTGTGTAATTTTTTTTTCCATAACTCCTCATATTTTTAAGAGTGTTGTTATTAACACCCTATCAATTATGTTGGACACCTTATTTTTTATTTTTTATTACAATGATAATTTCAAATGAAATTATTAAAAAGAATATCAATAATTTTGAGACACCTCATCTCACAATTAAACCTATGTATCCACTACATCATGAGTTAGGGTTTATGAGAGCATCCAACTCTATTATCATCTATTCATCTTCCTTAAATCCCATCTTTAAAACTTACCTACTCTCAAAATTTTGAAAATCCTTTGATGGCAATATTCCAGCGGTAACGGTAACAACCATTTGATTACCTACACTTATCCGGCAATGACAATGAGTGAAAGTTTTTCCGGTAACCATAACTCCATAAGACGAGAGAAGTACAACAATAAAAGATTAGAGGAAGTTTATACGTTTAATGGTGTTCTAAGCTCAGATGAGATTGGTCTTGTAAGAATAAGTTTTTTAAAAAAAATTGGCAAAAATAATAAAAACTGCTCATTATATTTTCGAGACCAAACTCCCGAACATATTACCGAAATTCGGGAACACAGGCCCAAATATTGTTTATTTGTTCGGGAACAGATAACCGAAACTCGTGGAGATAGCAGAACCCACGAAAGGGGAATTTTGAATCAATAACAAAAAAACTCTACATTTATTTTCTCATGTCATCAACAAATATCTGAAGATAAAGTAGTAATCACTTTCATGGGTTTTGTTAGGGTTTTTTGGAATAGAGACTTTTTGAGGTGTGGAGGTGTGCATTCAATTGAATGTGTGAAATATTTTTATAAAGATAATTTTGGTATCATTTTGGGGGAAGAAAAAAAAATTTAGAAGTTTTAAAATTTATAAGTGAGGATCCAAAAAAAAAAAAAGGTCCAAAATAATTGATGAGATATTAGTAGCAACAATCATTTTTAATTGGTGTAAAATAGTAGAGTGTATAATATGGACGGATTTACCTAAGGCTATGTTATAGCATGAAGGTTTGGGTTGGGTTAGGGCTATTTCAGGCACAAAAAATAAAATAAAATTTTTAACTTAATAAGGCAAAATGTCACATTCAAATTATAATCATTTTATTTTTTATCTCACACAAATTAAAAAAATCAAAAAGTCTATTTTAAACAAGACTTTTTAATCTTAAATTAATAGCCAAAAAATGAAAAAGCTAACTCACCCAAATGAAGGCTTTTATAAATACTTCATAACAGTTCCGCTACATAGCTCGAAAGTTCCGAGCTCGAAATCAGCCCAAATCCAAAACGATATCGTTTTGGAATAGCTTTTTTTATTTATTTATTTTTGAAGAGGCAACAGAAGAAGAAGAAGAAGAAGAAGAAGGAGGAGGTAGAAAGAAGGAGAAAAAATAAGAGGAGAGGACCACAGAGAGAGAGAGAGAGTGAAATTTTTTATTTTTTTTTTCTTTCATCCTTTCCATAACTGGAAATCAAACCAAAAATCATCATCAACACAATAGAAAATCAAACCAAAAACCATCATCAACATAGCAGAGAGAGAGAGAGTGGATTTTTTTTTTTTTCCATCCATTCCATAACTAGAAATCAAACAAAAAATCATCATCATCAACCAAACATATCATCCTCATCACACATAAAGATTAACCAAAAAATAAACCCACAATAGAGATCAACAACAAAAAAAAAAATGTAAAAACCCACCGAACACATCAAAATCAAAAATCAAAAAAACAAACCAAATCTACACAAATCTACCATCACCATCACCATCACCGTCTGTCGCCCACGTCTCGCACTGTCGCCATCTCCATATCTTTCTACCTTCCAGCTCTCTCTCTCTCTGTCTGTGTGTTCGCCCCTCTCTTTCTTTTCTCTTCCTCTCACTCTCTCTCTTCCTTTTCATATATAAAGGTGGGAATTTTTTTTTTTTTTAACCAAAACGACGTCGTTTTAAAATTCAGATATTCGGGCCGTCGCAACTTTGAGCTCTCACACATTTTCCTACGTCCGAATCCTAAGGAGGTAATCAAAAACTAACTTGTGTGCGAGTGCGACGCACACGATAATATCTCCATCTTCAAAATTTATATTTGTTTTTTATTTTTAAAAATTTGAACAAAACAAAGAGGAGGGAAAAAGAAGATCCACTTCGCTCTCAAAGGATTCAAGCGCCTCTCTCCCGATCCCAAATCCCCCCCTCTCTGAATTCTTTATTGTAGATTGTAGTTTTTCAAACCCTCAGATCTGTTAAATTTGTTGTTAAAATCTCACTTCTCTAACCATTTCAATGGCTGAAACCCTAAGCCCTAATCCCACGACTGCACAGAAGCAGAGAATCGCCATGGCCTCTCGCCTCCAATCCCCAACCAGCACCTTCTTCTTGGGCTCCAACAACGACCAACTCGAACGCGCCCAGGCCCGCGCCGCCCGCGCTGCCGCCATCCGCCGCAAAACCGCCCTCGCCTCTCCTCCGCCTGCTCCCGACCCCTGTCTCGACAAACAACAAATTCTCGAGTTGTTCCAAAACTGCATCAAACTCGCTAGCGAGAATGTAATTTTAACTGCCTGAAGTTTTTCATGTTTAATGTTGATTTGGAAATGTATTTGGTTGATTTGGATGATTTGTGTGATGCAGAAAATTAATCAGAAGAATACATGGGAGCTGAGTTTGATTGATCACCTCTGTGATATTATTAAGGTGGAAGACGAGGATGATATGGAGACCAACTTTCAAAAGGTAGTAATTTTTGTGCCTTGTATTTGACTGCATATTTCCATAAATTGTAAATATTTGTATGTTATTTGCATTTTTTCTAAGTAGGCAAGTTGCACGTTGGAAGCCGGAGTTAAAATTTACTCGATGAGGGTGGATTCAGTGCATTCAGAGGCATACAAGGTTCTTGGAGGGATTACTCGAGTCGGTCAACAAAATGAACCAGGTTAGCTTTTTCCAGTGCCCACGAAAACATAGCTTCTTTAGCAATTTTGTTCTTCCTAGTCCTGTTCCTTGCTTGATATAAATTTGATTCTTTTTTAAATTTCAATGCAAATTTTTTTGAAGGACTTTCTGATAATCATATTGATTTTACATGAAGATTAAAATAAAAAAAAAATTCATTACTCAAGGTTGATCTGTGTTGGGGAGTGGTGGATTGGGTATCTTTGGCTTATTTTCACAAAGCAGTTAGTCTTGTATTGAAGCCCATGTTTTATGTTTAACAGCATGGCATTTACCAATGCATCAAGAATCAACAATAGCAATAAGGAAAACACATTATGTTCCTAATTTACATTTTCAAAATCGATAATTAGCCTAGCTACAGTGGGCTAAAGTGAACGTGCAAGGGCTATCTAAATTTTGGTACTCTAGGCTCTTTAAACTTTGTAAATCGTGGATCAACATTATGTCATTATCATTTTGCTTTAATTTTAATGAACTAATACACATTCAAGTGGATATCTTTTGGTGCATGTAGTTTGTTGACAATGTAGTTTTAATTGATGAAACTAGGGTATGAGTAAACTCAGAATAGAAACTAAGTTGGAGTTTAAAATGTGGATGGAAACTTCAGAATCCAAAAGTTTCAGGTTAAGTAAAACGTAGACAAAATTGGATTGAGATTTTAGCAAAACTAGAAGCACTAACGAGGAAATAAGAGTGATAATTTGTAATATCTTGGACCAATTATCAATAAAGAAGCAGAGATTATGGAGGATGTGACTGATAGGCTTATAACAGGATAGGTGACATGGAAGAGTGCTTCATTTATGTGCTGTGATTGTTGTTTTTATTAAGTTAAAGGAAAGATGTCTAAAGGATAGTTATTAAGGCCAATTTATGGTATGGTTTAAAATGTTAAGCATCCAAAAATATGTCCAAAAATGAGCGTAGCCTATTGAAGACATTAAGATGGATAAGTGGTGCTACAAGGAAAGACAAAATCTAAAACTAATATGTCCATAGTAAGTTAAAAACAGAATCTAACAAAGATAAATTGATATAAAATTATTTGAGATGGTTTTTCCGTGCATAAAAATACCAATTAACACCTTGGGAAAGTGTAAATAGAAATATGATTAAGGTTGAAGATGCCAAAAGGAAAGAAGGTTGACCAATAAGTATTGGTTAAGGATGTGAGAAAGGACATTATTGCCTTAGATATTGATGGGCTTAAACATTGCAAATTTGAGAAATAGATCCACGCAGCCGATCTCAAATAATCAAGCTTTAGGCTTTTTGAATTGAGTTGCAACTTTTATCTCAAGCAAGAAGTTGATATACTCTTTCCTTTGTAATATTTGTTATTGTTGTTGTGATCTTGTCAACTTAATTTTCCTCATAATTAATTGGTCATGGGTTTTATTTGCAAATGGGAAATTTTGTCATTTTACTCTCTCTCTATCTCTCTCTCGTCCTTTTTCTTTTGATTTCATTTCTCCTTTAGCTTTTATATGTCTTTCTATGGCTTTCATATTCCATGCTTATAAGGTTAATGAAAATACATAATGTTGCAGTTTGAGCTGTGACTTTCAGCATTTTTTTTTCATGTTTAGTGTCATCTTATTTCTTGGCCTCTTGATGTTCTGCTATTGTGGCAGATAATGTGATGGAAGATGCCAATGTTAGCAACGGGCAAGAGGAAGGCAATTCTAAAAAAGAGCAAGAGAGGAAGGTAGGAAGATTTCTAATATTATAGAATAGGTTACTCATTAAACTCAAGCTAAAGGAATGAATTTATGCAGGTGTCACCTTTATCCACATTGGAATCATCATTTGAGGCTCTTAATGTTAAGAAATTTGATGGTGACTGCTTGTTCTCTCTATTCTATCTACTAATGTCATTTTGATGATGAAGTTATAATGGATTTCTTTTCTTTTCAGTTGCTTTTGCTGTGGATCCTCTCTATCATCAAACATCTGCACAGTTTGATGAAGGAGGGGCCAAGGGCCTCTTGCTGAATAATCTTGGAGTATACGGTGGCTGTCAGGTGCTTTTTGATTCATTGGAAGTGCCAGGGAAGTTTATGTCTTGTGCAAATCAGCATGACAAATTAGACACAATTGATCTTTCTTTTGCTAAAGGTGTGCTGCTTTTGTTAGTATGTTGTGATTCTGGTTTTTGTTTTTGTTGTATGAATTGAATGCATGCTGAGAGTGTTGAGAGGTTTGATTATTTTCCTTGTTTTCTTTATAGAACACATTGAACAGATGGTGTTCAACATGCACAAGAAGGATGAAATTTCTCCAACTCTCAGGAATATAGTCAATTTATTTGATGAAAGTAGCCAAAGACCATCAGATACATTTTCTTCTGGACTGAAATCAGCAGAGCAAGTTCATGAAACTATTAGTGGAAATAATGCTGAGTTGGACGATAATGCATTTGATAATTGTGGGACCTGGGCCTTTGATCATGACGACCAAACAAGTGTGGTTGGTGAAGATACTTTTGGTGGAGATCCAATTTCACCAATTTATCGCGAGGTTTCTTGTTGTACGACTGTCAGAAATGTGGCTTTTAAGGGTTTTGAAATTTAATTCTATTTTAATTATTTGGAGTAGAAATTGATGAAGTTGTATATTTTATTTTTCTTGTTGCAGGAAAATCAACCATTTGTTTTTCATGAGCCTGATATAGATGACAGGTTTGATAAAGTTGACGGGTACTTGTTTTTAAGTTTAGGATTTACTTCAAAACAAAATGCCTGGGCAGGCCCCGATCATTGGAAGTATCGAAAAGTAAAAGGTTGGCTTTTGAAGCTTGTGGCAGCCATATCATCAATCTGCTCTTCACTTTAATTATGTAATATATAACCTTTTTTTTATAGGTTCAGAGGATCTTGCCACAGAAAATGGATCACCTTTAGCAGCTAAGAAGCCAAGGAACAAAAAACAAGCAGAACTTGATATTGATTTCACAAAAGCCTTGGACAATGAGATTTCAGATGTCTTTGCTCCACCTAAGAATCCCAATTCATTACTGCTGCCAGCAAAAAGAGAGTCATGTAATAAAACACTTCCAGAAGATTGCCATTATCAACCAGAGGATCTTGTCAAGTTATTTCTTCTACCTAATGTCATGGTAACACTTGTCTTTGATTACAAATAGACAATATGATTTGCAATTGTGTAGTGTTTTATAATCTCTTTTACAATATGTTTTTTCCTGGTTGTAGTGCCTTGGGAGGAGAGGAAGAAAGTCTTCAGGTAAATAATCTGAGTGCTAATATTGCAAGTATTCTTTGATGCCAAATAGGCATTTATAATGATGTGTTCATCTTTTGTTGCAGTACTTATTTTTTTATTTGTACCACTTTGTGTAGTTTTTCATTTTGGTGGGTCATAAATAATACTTGTTTCTTGTTCAAAGTCACATATCCACACCATATCTTTATGGGTGCCACAGCTTTCGATTGCATCGGGTTCAACTTTCACTTGCACACCATGAATTTGTAATTATTTTCCCCACTTCCCATTGATTTTTTCCCCCCAAAACTGAAATGAATGTTTTTGTGTTAATCCAAATTGGTGAAATTGAGATAATTGTCAGCTTTGCAGAAATAGCACAATAAACAAAATATTTAGGCTTACATTTTCAAACAGGCAGCAACTTGTTTTGTTTTTTTGGTTGTCAGTCTTATATTTTGGGAATAACCATCAGCGAAAACTAACTATACAAAATGGGCAAAAGATTGCTGTTAATTTTCCTAAATGGTTCCTCTTACCAAAAAATGTCCTATTCTGCTCACCCTACATGAGCCACTTCAAAGCCAAAGGGGCCATACCCATGTTCTCCTTCCACCCGCATCCCCTTCAAGCCATACAAGCTCTCCCACGTCTCTAGGAAACACCCAAGTGGCTCCAAACAAGATAAGAATAGAAGACCAAAGCTCCCTCGCCGTGTCACAATCAATTAATTTGCACTTTCTTTTTCTTCTTGTAATAAAATTGCCAATTGTAAGAATTTGTCTTGCTATGCCTTGATGAGTTCATTCCAAATGATGAAATTACACATAATATATACAATTTATTTAATGTTATTCTGTGGATTACTGTGCTTGATTCTGCCGTCAGAGGAATGGAATCAACAAAGAGATGATGACAGACCATTGCCGTCATGGGATGATGAAAATTTGTATGGTGGTCAATATGATGATGGAGATGTTCATAGTGATGTGGAGGATTCAAACACACTCGTCTCTCAGCCTCGTCAGGTTTGTTTTTGATATTTATTCCTGATGTGTACACTAAAGTGATTTCTTGGGTATTGCAGTGTGCGATTTTCAGGGAGGGTAGCTTGTCGAATGATATTATGGTAGTCTCAAAATTAAGATTTCTGCCTCTACATAAGAATTGACAAGGACATGTGGGGATATCATTTTTCATATTTTGTATTCAATGTTGGCCACCAAGAAATTGGGAAAAATAAATAGAAGAGAATTCAAATATTGTCTTTCTATCATTTCATTAAAGAAAAGGCAGAAAATAGTTATGTTGCTTCATTGCTTAAAGGATTTACTTTCTTTTGGTCCTTAGCAAGTACGATAGATTGTCAGATTCAAGGTAACAAAATTTATGTTCTTATTTTCCCAACATTTTTACTATTAACCAGTCAGAACATAAGAAAGAAAAAAAGACACAAGAGAATATGCAATTCACAAATTGTTATTATTGTCAAATTGTACTGTTATCTTTTGAAAATATTTGCATTTATGCTTACACTGTTTGCTTCTCTAAATAAATCAGGTAAATAAGATCGAAGTACAATACGACAGAACTTCTAAACAAGTTGATGTCCAGGCACTGAAAGAAACTCTGTGGGACCATATACAAGAATCTACTCAAATGTCTATTCAGGTAAGCTATAAGTGTTTTTTACCGTTGGCATGAATCTTTGTCAAGAGCAGATGTAACATGATTAAATTACAAATTACATAGAAAGATTTGCTGTCTTGTTTACTTTGGCTTCATTTGGGAAGTTGCTATTTTAGTAGGCTATTTTAGTTTTTGGCTATTTTAGTAGGCTAAAATTTTTGTGTTTGGGAAGATGATTGGATTTTTTTATGGTTGGATGTGATGTTTGTGAGAGAAAAAGTGAAATGATTATGGGTTTGATGTGATATTTTGTCTTATTAGCTATTTTAGCCTATTTTGTCTTTTTGTGAATTTTAGCCTAAATTACGCTATTTTTTTTCTTCCCAAACACCCCCTTTGTGTGTTTAGGTTAAAAAGGTGAATGATATTTTGTCTTGGGAAAAAAATGAATGTAAGGCTTGGTTTGGCATGTCCTAAATAATACAAAAAGTCAAAAAGTCACTATCCTATTTAAGTCACATCATCTTATTTAAATCACATCACCTCTCTAACACATCACATCAAGCCCAATCCAAACCCAACCCATATAAGCCAATAAGTCAAAAAGTGCACTTTTTTAGAACATCCCAAACCAACCCTAAGTATAAATATACTCCGTTTATCTCTACAATCTGCAAGGGATGGAACATATTTAGTCTATGCTTGGAGTTATGTGAAAAAAGTTCTTCATTGAGATGAGTACATCTATTCCTTACTCCAAATGCCTACTTTTGTTGGCATTCTCAACCTGTAGTACCATAGAGTAATGATATTTGATACTTATGATCTAGATATTTCACAATTTTTTTGAAAAATAATGAGACATCATTCCAGTTTGTTTTTCCATGGCCCTCCATATGTTCGCATCATCTGCACTATATGACATATGTGCTTTTTTTTTTTTTTTTTTTTTTTTTGGGTATGTGTTTCTGCTGTGCTAGTTGTCTACTTTGGTGTTATATTATGACCATTGTGCTTGATCTCATTATTATTATTATTATTTATTTTTATTTTATTTTATTTTATTTTTTTAGTGTGAAAAGTAATATCTAATTGTGGATTAACTTCAGGGGCAGAAAGAAATGGTATCTTTCAAGTACATCTTGGCCAGCTTTCCGGAAGACTGCAGGGCAGCTGCAGCACTTCAGGATATCTCTCCCCATCTGTGTTTCATATGCCTTCTGCATTTAGCCAATGAGCATGGATTGAACATCCATGGCTGCACCAACTTGAATGATCTTAGCATACACTTACCACCCAACTGAGATGTGCTTTCGAGTGCAGTGATTTAAATCTCCATTTTATTGTTTTTTGTTTACTTCTGTTATGCATAGCATAGCTCGTGCTTGATGTGTTAACTAATCTGTGGAATGATTCTCAAGTTGGAGCAAACGAACAAGACTGTAAAAAAATGTCATTTATGTTGTATTCTGTCAACAATATTGTCTAAATCATGTGCAGATTTTGTTGACAAGCATTTTTGTCTCTTCATACTCTCTTTACAGCTAGAAATCAGAATTAGTTATTGAGCATTTACATTTTCTTGTTATAAGTTCTATACTGAAAATGATATGAAATGAATGTTTTTGCTTAATGAACAGATCCATTAGAGGACTCAACCCTAGATAGAATGACTATATTTGCTCTATTGTTTGCACAATCAATCATCTAAAGACACTATTTTGATCTATCATTGACTAAGAAAGCTCCTGCTGCATTCTTCAGCATATACTGACGATGCACCATAAAACTTTTGAACCAGCCTATAATTTGATTGCTTCAAAGCTTGTCTTAAAGAGAGAGATCACTTCTTTCAAACATCAGTCATCAAGTACTATGCATTCTTAACTATGCAGCACAGTTGAGTAATTTTTACACAATTAATCACGGCTGAGGTTTTCTTCAGCTGCTACCTCTTGATCAAGAAAACACAAAACAGAATTCACTTCCAGAACAGTAAACCAGAATGTGAAACATATAAAGTGCAGCTCCACATAACTGCTGAACTATTTTGCAACAACTGTTACTAATTCAAAAATAATGGAATCAAAACAGGCCTTGGCATTTTTTTTTCCTTCTTTGATCACATAGTTTGCCCCATTAGGGGTGTATATGAAACCATGAAAGCACAACATGGCTGAACTACGGCTGACATAATCTAATATTGATTTAAGCATTTTATAGTAACAAATACACAATCCCTATTTTCAATGTCTTACCAGTGGGGGGTTTTTAAATTAACAATTAGGGGGAGGGAGGACGTGCTCCTTTTCCGCAGATTGGCTGTATTGAAATGCCATGAAACAAATGGATACTTCTATAAGAGTACTAAGAATTGGATCAGATGGTTCAACCTAGTTCATCAAATTCATAAACATCCTCCTCCTTTGACGTGGGATCACACGAGGCTATCAGCATTTTATGCAGATTGAACATTACCCTGAGACTGTGTACGAGACTTCGCGGCCCCTTCTTTCCATCCTCTTTGATGAGCCCTCTGCTCCCACATTTCAGTCAGTTTCTTCTGTGCCAATAAAGATGCCTCAGATTTTTCCCTTGCCTCTTCACAAGTTTCCATCCCCGAATTGCACTTGTCTGCCTCCTTTTGATATTGGGATGTTATCTTCTTGGCCTCAAGAAGAGCCATGTCAGCACGCCGCTGACTTTCCAAAGCTTCAGTTTCTCGTAGCTTCAGCTCCTCAGACAAAAGCTCTGAAAAGTTATTTTCTGTGTCTTCATTCCCTTCTGGATCGTGCTTTGCACAATCTGCATGAAAATATGCCAACAGAACAAAGAAAAGATAAAAAGTCAAGCACCTAGATAAACATTTTTGTTTCATATACAGATTCATGCTATTAGGCAGTCCAAGACCTCAGAGCAAGGAGGTTTGCTAAATTTGAGCAGAAATATAGCTCGGGAAAACTTGAAATCTGTATCTAGGATTATTCAAATCGTATTGTAATGTTCAACATGTTATCAGTTGTGGCCAAAAAGAAACTCAAATGATTATAGACCATCAATTGGTTGGAAAAAAGCATTAATGTCGCAAAATGTAAAGCTAGAAAATCCCAAATCGACTCACAACCTCCTATGTCAGTGCCCCTAATAGTGTCCGACACTAATGATGGTTTGCCTAACATTGAAGATAAGTGAAAAGAAAATGTTCTCATCACATTTCTCTTTCTTTATAAAAGTGAATGTTCAGGTAACTTAACTTGATGGTCCAGTCCAGTATGGGTGAAACAAAAAAATATGTGCAAATGTTTGTGTGAGGGGGGTGGGGATATGTTATTCTCTTTTCAAAAGCCAAACCAAAACAATTTGCAATTTTGCATATACTAAATAACAGAGAGAAACTCACCTGTAAAAGAAGTGTTGGTCAGTCCTGCAAGAAACAAAGTCGAAGGACAAAAATAAGAACATGTTTCAGAAAATTGAAAGAGTGGCAGAATATTCAAATAATATATTCAGTAAAAGATGGCAACCCTAGGTTGGTGAATAAAAAACAAGAAGCCAACATGCAAAAGCATGCCTGTCAAAATTATAGCCAAAGAATTATACAACAAAAATATGTGACATTCAATAGTGATGAGAACAGGGGCTTATATAGCATGTCTTAATTGGATGTTTAAACCAATATACTTACAGTGGCGTGATATTATGGCTTTTGATGAAAGGTTAATTAAGGTGAAAAAAAATAAAAACTAAAATTCTCATCCCAGAACATTTCTTTTTTTGGTTTTGTTTTGTTTTGTTTTTTAATCAAAAAATGATAAATGGAATCCAGTTCATGCAGAGTTACAATAGCAGATGGTACTTTTTTAGTTGGGGGTGCTTTAGAGAGAAATTTACCTACAGTTAGGGAAAAGGGAAAAAAAGTCGTCAAGATAGTGAAATAATATTTAAGCAGCAATTGATAAGAATCCCATCTCTCATGCAAACTAGTAGAGTAAAATGAAATCAGATTCCCAAGATCATCCCCAAAGAGGGCCTTATCCTCAATTACTTATGCTGTGTTTGGTTCAAGAATTTAAGGAGAGATTTGGAAAGGAAAAGGGAAAAAGGAAGATGAAAAGGTGTGTGAAACTAAGTGAAATCACATTTCACCATCCTTTTTCCTTTCCATTTCCAAATCCTGGAACCAAACACAACCTTAGCAATGACAATGAGTGAAAGTTTTTCCGGCAACCATAACTCCATAAGACAAGAGAAGTACAACAATAAAAGATTAGAGGAAGTTTATACGTTTAATGGTGTTCTAAGCTCAGATGAGATTGGTCTTATAAGAGTAAGTTTTTTAAAAAAAACTGGCAAAAATAATAAAAACTGCTCATTATATTTTCGAGACCAAACTCCCAAACATATGACCGAAATTCGGGAACACAGACCCGAATATTGTTCATTTGTTCGGGAACAGATAACCGAAACTCGTGGAAATAGCAGAACCCACGAAAGGGGAGTTTTGAATCAACAACAAAAAACTCTACATTTATTTTCTCATGTCATAAACAAATATCTGAAGATAAAGTAGTAATCACTTTCATGGGTTTTGTTAGGGTTTTTTGGAATAGAGACTTTTTGAGGTGTGGAGGTGTGCATTCAATTGAATGTGTGAAATATTTTTATAAAGATAACTTTGGTATCATTTGGGGGGAAAAAAAAAATTTAGAAGTTTTAAAATTTATAAGTGAGGATTCAAAAAAAAAAGGTCCAAAATAATTGATGGGATATTAGTAGCAACAATCATTTTTAATTGGTGTAAAATAGTAGAGTGTATAATATGGACGGATTTACCTAAGGCCATGTTATAGCATGAAGGTTTAGGTTGGGTTGGGGCTATTTCAGGCACAAAAAATAAAATAAAATTTTTAACTTAATAAGACAAAATGTCACATTCAAATTATAATCATTTTATTTTTTATCTCACACAAATTAAAAAAGTCAAAAAATCTATTTTAAGCAAGACTTTTTAATCCTAAATTAAAATAGCCAAAAAATGAAAAAGCTAACTCACCCAAATGAAGGCTTTTATAAATACTTCATAACAGTTCCGCTACATAGCTCGAAAGTTCCGAGCTCGAAATCAGCCCAAATCCAAAACGATATCGTTTTGGAATAGCTTTTTTTATTTATTTATTTTTGAAGAGGCAACAGAAGAAGAAGAAGAAGAAGAAGAAGGAGGAGGTAGAAAGAAGGAGAAAAAATAAGAGGAGAGGACCACAGAGAGAGAGAGAGAGTGAAATTTTTTATTTTTTTTTTCTTTCATCCTTTCCATAACTGGAAATCAAACCAAAAATCATCATCAACACAATAGAAAATCAAACCAAAAACCATCATCAACATAGCAGAGAGAGAGAGAGTGGATTTTTTTTTTTTTCCATCCATTCCATAACTAGAAATCAAACAAAAAATCATCATCATCAACCAAACATATCATCCTCATCACACATAAAGATTAACCAAAAAATAAACCCACAATAGAGATCAACAACAAAAAAAAAAATGTAAAAACCCACCGAACACATCAAAATCAAAAATCAAAAAAACAAACCAAATCTACACAAATCTACCATCACCATCACCATCACCGTCTGTCGCCCACGTCTCGCACTGTCGCCATCTCCATATCTTTCTACCTTCCAGCTCTCTCTCTCTCTGTCTGTGTGTTCGCCCCTCTCTTTCTTTTCTCTTCCTCTCACTCTCTCTCTTCCTTTTCATATATAAAGGTGGGAATTTTTTTTTTTTTTAACCAAAACGACGTCGTTTTAAAATTCAGATATTCGGGCCGTCGCAACTTTGAGCTCTCACACATTTTCCTACGTCCGAATCCTAAGGAGTTAATAAAAAACTAACATGTATGCGAGTGCGACGCACACGATAATATCTCCATCTTCAAAATTTATATTTATTTTTTATTTTTAAAAATTTGAACAAAACAAAGAGGAGGGAAAAAGAAGATCCACTTCGCTCTCAAAGGATTCAAGCGCCTCTCTCCCGATCCCAAATCCCCCCCTCTCTGAATTCTTTATTGTAGATTGTAGTTTTTCAAACCCTCAGATCTGTTAAATTTGTTGTTAAAATCTCACTTCTCTAACCATTTCAATGGCTGAAACCCTAAGCCCTAATCCCACGACTGCACAGAAGCAGAGAATCGCCATGGCCTCTCGCCTTCAATCCCCAACCAGCACCTTCTTCTTGGGCTCCAACAACGACCAACTCGAACGTGCCCAGGCCCGCGCCGCCCGCGCTGCCGCCATCCGCCGCAAAACCGCCCTCGCCTCTCCTCCGCCTGCTCCCGACCCCTGTCTCGACAAACAACAAATTCTCGAGTTGTTCCAAAACTGCATCAAACTCGCTAGCGAGAATGTAATTTTAACTGCCTGAAGTTTTTCATGTTTAATGTTGATTTGGAAATGGATTTGGTTGATTTGGATGATTTGTGTGATGCAGAAAATTAATCAGAAGAATACATGGGAGCTGAGTTTGATTGATCACCTCTGTGATATTGTTAAGGTGGAAGACGAGGATGATATGGAGACCAACTTTCAAAAGGTAGTAATTTTTGTGCCTTGTATTTGACTGCATATATCCATAAATTGTAAATATTTGTATGTTATTTGCATTTTTTCTAAGTAGGCAAGTTGCACGTTGGAAGCCGGAGTTAAAATTTACTCGATGAGGGTGGATTCAGTGCATTCAGAGGCATACAAGGTTCTTGGAGGGATTACTCGAGTCGGTCAACAAAATGAACCAGGTTAGCTTTTTCCAGTGCCCACGAAAACATTCTTTACACTGTGTTTGGGAACCTAGGAGAAAAAAAAAAAGAAATGATTATTTAAGTTACAAGAGAAAAGAAAAGAAAAGAAATGATTGTGATTTCTCTCCTTTTTGTTTGGATAAGGAATAAATAAAAAAAAAGAAATGATTGTGATTTTTCTCATTTTTGTTTGGTTAGATTTCATTAAGAGAAAAGAAAAGAAATTATTTTATGTTATATTACTAAAATAATTTTTTTATATTTTCAATCATTTTATTTCTTTTATTTTTATAGGGACAAAATTGGTATTATGAAAATAATAGTTTCTTTTCTCTCCCAATCTCTCCACTTTTGGGAAGATTTAAAATGAGGCTTATAAGAGAAATGAGTTTCTCTCTATTTCTTTCCATTTCTTCCCATTTCTCTCCACTTAGGTTATTCAAACAAGTAAGAGAAATACATATCTCTCCATTTTTTTTTTTTCCTCTCCAAATCACTCAATCCAAACATAGCGTTAGCAATTTTGTTCTTCCTAGTCCTGTTCCTTGCTTGATATAAATTTGATTCTTTTTTAAATTTCAATGCAAATTTTTTTGAAGGACTTTATGATAATCATATTGATTTTACATGAAGATTAAAATAAAAAAAAATTCATTACTCAAGGTTGATCTGTGTTGGGGAGTGGTGGATTGGGTATCTTTGGCTTATTTTCACAAAGCAGTTAGTCTTGTATTGAAGCCCATGTTTTATGTTTAACAGCATGGCATTTACCAATGCATCAAGAATCAACAATAGCAATAAGGAAAACACATTATGTTCCTAATTTACATTTTCAAAATCGATAATTAGCCTAGCTACAGTGGGCTAAAGTGAACGTGCAAGGGCTATCTAAATTTTGGTACTCTAGGCTCTTTAAACTTTGTAAATCATGGATCAACATTATGTTATTATCATTTTGCTTTAATTTTAATGAACTAATACACATTCAAGTGGATATCTTTTGGTGCATGTAGTTTGTTGACAATGTAGTTTTAATTGATGAAACTAGGGTATGAGTAAACTCAGAATAGAAACTAAGTTGGAGTTTAAAATGTGGATGGAAACTTCAGAATCCAAAAGTTTCAGGTTAAGTAAAACGTAGACAAAATTGGAATGAGATTTTAGCAAAACTAGAAGCACTAACGAGGAAATAAGAGTGATAATTTGTAATATCTTGGACCAATTATCAATAAAGAAGCAGAGATTATGGAGGATGTGACTGATAGGCTTATAACAGGATAGGTGACATGGAAGAGTGCTTCATTAATGTGCTGTGATTGTTGTTTTTATTAAGTTAAAGGAAAGATGTCTAAAGGATAGTTATTAAGGCCAATTTATGGTATGGTTTAAAATGTTAAGCATCCAAAAATATGTCTAAAAATGAGCATAGCCTATTGAAGATATTAAGATGGATAAGTGGTGCTACAAGGAAAGACAAAATCTAAAACTAATATGTCCATAGTAAGTTAAAAACAGAATCTAACAAAGATAAATTGATATAAAATTATTTGAGATGGTTTTTCCGTGCATAAAAATACCAATTAACACCTTGGGAAAGTGTAAATAGAAATATGATTAAGGTTGAAGATGCCAAAAGGAAAGAAGGTTGACCAATAAGTATTGGTTAAGGATGTGAGAAAGGACATTATTGCCTTAGATTTAATTGATGGGCTCGAACATTGCAAATTTGAGAAATAGATCCACGCAGCCGATCTCAAATAATCAAGCTTTAGGCTTTTTGAATTGAGTTGCAACTTTTATCTCAAGCAAGAAGTTGATATACTCTTTCCTTTGTAATATTTGTTATTATTGTTGTGATCTTGTCAACTTAATTTTCCTCATAATTAATTGGTCATGGGTTTTATTTGCAAATGGGAAATTTTGTCATTTTACTCTCTCTCTATCTCTCTCTCGTCCTTTTTCTTTTGATTTCATTTCTCCTTTAGCTTTTATATGTCTTTCTATGGCCTTCATATTCCATGCTTATAAGGTTAATGAAAATACATAATGTTGCAGTTTGAGCTGTGACTTTCAGCATTTTTTTTTCATGTTTAGTGTCATCTTATTTCTTGGCCTCTTGATGTTCTGCTATTGTGGCAGATAATGTGATGGAAGATGCCAATGTTAGCAACGGGCAAGAGGAAGGCAATTCTAAAAAAGAGCAAGAGAGGAAGGTAGGAAGATTTCTAATATTATAGAATAGGTTACTCATTAAACTCAAGCTAAAGGAATGAATTTATGCAGGTGTCACCTTTATCCACATTGGAATCATCATTTGAGGCTCTTAATGTTAAGAAATTTGATGGTGACTGCTTGTTCTCTCTATTCTATCTACTAATGTCATTTTGATGATGAAGTTATAATGGATTTCTTTTCTTTTCAGTTGCTTTTGCTGTGGATCCTCTCTATCATCAAACATCTGCACAGTTTGATGAAGGAGGGGCCAAGGGCCTCTTGCTGAATAATCTTGGAGTATACGGTGGCTGTCAGGTGCTTTTTGATTCATTGGAAGTGCCAGGGAAGTTTATGTCTTGTGCAAATCAGCATGACAAATTAGACACAATTGATCTTTCTTTTGCTAAAGGTGCACTGCTTTTGTTAGTATGTTGTGATTCTGGTTTTTGTTTTTGTTGTATGAATTGAATGCATGTTGAGAGTGTTGAGAGGTTTGATTATTTTCCTTGTTTTCTTTATAGAACACATTGAACAGATGGTGTTCAACATGCACAAGAAGGATGAAATTTCTCCAACTCTCAGGAATATAGTCAATTTATTTGATGAAAGTAGCCAAAGACCACCAGATACATTTTCTTCTGGACTGAAATCAGCAGAGCAAGTTCATGAAACTATTAGTGGAAATAATGCTGAGTTGGACGATAATGCATTTGATAATGGTGGGACCTGGGCCTTTGATCATGACGACCAAACAAGTGTGGTTGGTGAAGATACTTTTGGTGGAGATCCAATTTCACCAAATTATCACGAGGTTTCTTGTTGTATGACTGTCAGAAATGTGGCTTTTAAGGGTTTTGAAATTTAATTCTCTTTTAATTATTTGGAGTAGAAATTGATGAAGTTGTATATTGATACCTTTTGGTTGAATTTTGCAGGAAAATGAACCATTTGTTTTTCATGAGCCTGATATAGATGACAGGTTTGATAAAGTTGACGGGTACTTGTTTTTAAGTTTAGGATTTACTTCAAAACAAAATGCCTGGGCAGGCCCCGATCATTGGAAGTATCGAAAAGTAAAAGGTTGGTTTTTGAAGCTTGTGGCAGCCATAGCATCAATCTGCTATTCACTCTAATTATGTAATATATAACCTTTTTTTTATAGGTTCAGAGGATCCTGCCACAGAAAATGGATCACCTTTAGCAACTAAGAAGCCAAGGAACAAAAAACAAGCAGAACTTGATATTGATTTCACAAAAGCCTTGGACAATGAGATTTCAGATGTCTTTGCTCCACCTAAGAATCCCAATTCATTACTGCTGCCAGCAAAAAGAGAGTCATGTAATAAAACACTTCCAGAAGATTGCCATTATCAACCAGAGGATCTTGTCAAGTTATTTCTTCTACCTAATGTCATGGTAACACTTGTCTTTGATTACAAATAGACAATATGATTTGCAATTGTGTAGTGTTTTATAATCTCTTTTACAATATGTTTTTTCCTGGTTGTAGTGCCTTGGGAGGAGAGGAAGAAAGTCTTCAGGTAAATAATCTGAGTGCTAATATTGCAAGTATTCTTTGATGCCAAATAGGCATTTATAATGATGTGTTGATCTTTTGTTGCAGTACTTATTTTTTTATTTGTACCACTTTGTGTATTTTTTCATTTTGGTGGGTCATAAATAATACTTGTTTCTTGTTCAAAGTCACATATACACACCATTTCTTTATGGGTGCCACAGCTTTCGATTGCATTGGGTTCCACTTTCACTTGCACACCATGAATTTGTAATTATTTTCCCCACTTCCCATTGATTTTTTCCCCCCAAAACTGAAATGAATGTTTTTGTGTTAATCCAAATTGGTGAAATTGAGATAATTGTCAGCTTTGCAGAAATAGCACAATAAACAAAATATTTAGGCTTACATTTTCAAACAGGCAGCAACTTGTTTTGTTTTTTTGGTTGTCAGTCTTATTTTGGGAATAACCATCAGCGAAAACTAACTCTACAAAATGGGCAAAAGATTGCTGTTAATTTTCCTAAATGGTTCCTCTTACCAAAAAATGTCCTATTCTGCTCACCCTACATGAGCCACTTCAAAGCCAAAGGGGTCATAACCATGTTCTCCTTCCACCCGCATCCCCTCCAAGCCATACAAGCTCTCCCACGTCTCTAGGAAACACCCAAGTGGCTCCAAACAAGATAAGAATAGAAGACCAAAGCTCCCTCGCCGTGTCACAATCAATTAATTTGCACTTTCTTTTTCTTCTTGTAATAAAATTGCCAATTGTAAGAATTTGTCTTGCTATGCCTTGATGAGTTCATTCCAAATGATGAAATTACACATAATATATACAATTTATTTAATGTTATTCTGTGGATTACTGTGCTTGATTCTGCCGTCAGAGGAATGGAATCAACAAAGAGATGATGACAGACCATTGCCGTCATGGGATGATGAAAATTTGTATGGTGGTCAATATGATGATGGAGATGTTCATAGTGATGTGGAGGATTCAAACACACTCGTCTCTCAGCCTCGTCAGGTTTGTTTTTGATATTTATTCCTGATGTGTACACTAAAGTGATTTCTTGGGTATTGCAGTGTGTGATTTTCAGGGAGGGTAGCTTGTCAAATGATATTATGGTAGTCTCAAAATTAAGATTTCTGCCTCTATATAAGAATTGACAAGGACATGTGGGGATATCATTTTTCATGTTTTGTATTCAATGTTGGCCACCAAGAAATTGGGAAAAATAAATAGAAGAGAATTCAAATATTGTCTTTCTATCATTTCATTAAAGAAAAGGCAGAAAATAGTTATGTTGCTCCATTGCTTAAAGGATTTACTTTCTTTTGGTCCTTAGCAAGTACGATAGATTGTCAGATTCAAGGTAACAAAATTTCTGTTCTTATTTTCCCAACATTTTTACTATTAACCAGTCAGAACATAAGAAAGAAAAAAGGACACAAGAGAATATGCAATTCACAAATTGTTATTATTGTCAAATTGTACTGTTATCTTTTGAAAATATTTGCATTTATGCTTACACTGTTTGCTTCTCTAAATAAATCAGGTAAATAAGATCGAAGTACAATACGACAGAACTTCTAAACAAGTTGATGTCCAGGCACTGAAAGAAACTCTGTGGGACCATATACAAGAATCTACTCAAATGTCTATTCAGGTAAGCTATAAGTGTTTTTTATCAAGCAGCCAGTCAAAACTTTCCAACATAACAAGGAAATTTCTTAGGATGGGAAAACTAGGGAACAAAACAGTTTGCACAATTACTTAATATTAGTAAATGTAATTAAATAGATAACAAATTTATAGAGTTGGACTAGCATAATCAAGCCGCGTTAGCTAATAAACCTTTGCTACAAATCTATTGACAATCTTTTTTTTTTCCCCTTCTATCTACAACAAATAACCTATCTGTTTATTGTATTTGGCAGGAAAGAAACTCTAGAATTTTTCAATCTATTAGCTCTCCTGGTTAGGTGATTCAGAAAAAGAATTGTCAATCCTGTAACGTTTACAATTCTTTCTGTGAATAACTTTAATAAGAATGCCACTAGTGATTGGTTTATGGACAGATGGAGGCTCCCTTCCTCTGTACTGAAACTGGGGTGATTTCTTATGTCTAACTTTGATGCTATATTATGGCCATGGTGCTTGATCTCATTATTATTATTATTTATTATTATTTTTTTTAATGAGAAGTAATAGCTAATTGTGGATTAACTTTAGGGGTAGAAAGAAATGGTATCTTTCAAGGACATCATGGCCAGCTTTTCCGAAAGACTGCAGGGCGGCTGCAGCAGTTCAGGATATCTCTCCCCATTTGTGTTTCATATGCCTTCTGCATTTAGCCAATGAGCATGGATTGAACATCCATGGCTGCACCAACTTCAACAATCTCAGCATACATTTATCACCTAACTGAGACGTGCTTTCGAGTGCAGTGATTTAAATCACCATTTTATTGTTTTTTGTTTACTTCTATTATGCATAGCATAGCTTGTGTTTGATGTACTAACTAATCTGTGGAATCATTCTCAAGTTGGAGCAAACGAACTAGACAGTGTAAAAAAGTGTCATTTATGTTGTATTCTGTCAACAATATTTGTCTAAATCTTGTGCAGATTCTGTTGACAAGCATTTTTGTCTCTTCATACTCTCTTTACAGCCAGAAATCAGAATTAGTTATTGAGCATTTACATTTTCTTGTTATAAGTTCTATACTGAAAATGATATGAAATGAATGTTTTTGCTTAATGAACAGATCCATTAGAGGACTCAACCCTAGATAGAATGACTATATTTGCTCTATTGTTTGCACAATCAATCATCTAAAGACACTATTTTGATCTATCATTGACTAAGAAAGCTCCTGCTGCATTCTTCAGCATATACTGACGATGCACCATAAAACTTTTGAACCAGCCTTTAATTTGATTGCTTCAAAGCTTGTCTTAAAGAGAGAGAGATCACTTCTTTCAAACATCAGTCATCAAGTACTCAAAAATGTATGCATTCTTAACTATGCAGCACAGTTGAGTAATTTTTACACAATTAGGCCAAGTTTGGGAAGACTAAATAAGTGCATTTTTTGTTTTTTTAGACTAAAAAGTTGAGGTTGAAAATATGAATGTTTGGGTTAACTTTTTGACTTTTTATGGAAAAATGTGTAATAAAAAATTGTAAAAATTAGTTAGTAGGAGAAAATTAGAATTGGGAATTGTGCAGCCGTAATTGTTGACTTTTGGTGAATAGTGATGACTTTTTAACTTTTTGAGTAACTTTTTGACTTTTTTTAAACTACCCAAACTTGGCCTTAATCATGGCTGAGGTTTTCTTCAGCTGCTACCTCTTGATCAAGAAAACACAAAACATAATTCACTTCCAGAACAGTAAACCAGAATGTGAAACATATAAAGTGCAGCTCCGCATAACTGCTGAACTATTTTGCAACAACTGTTACTAATTCAAAAATAATGGAATCAAAACACGCCTTGGCATTTTTTTTTCCTTCTTCGATCACATAGTTTGCCCCATTAGGGGTGTATATGAAACCATGAAAGCACAACATGGCTGAACTACTGCTGACATAATCTAATATTGATTTAAGCATTTTATAGTAACAAATACACAATCCCTATTTTCAATGTCTTACCAGTGGGGTTTTTAAATTAACAATTAGGGGGAGGGAGGCCGTGCTCCTTTTCCGCAGATTGGCTGTATTGAAATGCCATGAAACAAATGGATACTTCTATAAGAGTACTAAGAATTGGATCAGATGGTTCAACCTAGTTCATCAAATTCATAAACATCCTCCTCCTTTGACGTGGGATCACACGAGGCTATCAGCATTTTATGCAGATTGAACATTACCCTGAGACTGTGTACGAGACTTCGCGGCCCCTTCTTTCCATCCTCTTTGATGAGCCCTCTGCTCCCACATTTCAGTCAGTTTCTTCTGTGCCAATAAAGATGCCTCAGATTTTTCCCTTGCCTCTTCACAAGTTTCCATCCCCGAATTGCACTTGTCTGCCTCCTTTTGATATTGGGATGTTATCTTCTTGGCCTCAAGAAGAGCCATGTCAGCACGCCGCTGACTTTCCAAAGCTTCAGTTTCTCGTAGCTTCAGCTCCTCAGACAAAAGCTCTGAAAAGTTATTTTCTGTGTCTTCATTCCCTTCTGGATCATGCTTTGCACAATCTGCATGAAAATATGCCAACAGAACAAAGAAAAGATAAAAAGTCAAGCACCTAGATAAACATTTTTGTTTCATATACAGATTCATGCTATTAGGCAGTCCAAGACCTCAGAGCAAGGAGGTTTGCTAAATTTGAGCAGAAATATAGCTCGGGAAAACTTGAAATCTGTATCTAGGATTATTCAAATCGTATTGTAATGTTCAACATGTTATCAGTTGTGGCCAAAAAGAAACTCAAATGATTATAGACCATCAATTGGTTGGAAAAAAGCATTAATGTCGCAAAATGTAAAGCTAGAAAATCCCAAATCGACTCACAACCTCCTATGTCAGTGCCCCTAATAGTGTCCGACACTAATGATGGTTTGCCTAACATTGAAGATAAGTGAAAAGAAAATGTTCTCATCACATTTCTCTTTCTTTATAAAAGTGAATGTTCAGGTAACTTAACTTGATGGTCCAGTCCAGTATGGGTGAAACAAAAAAATATGTGCAAATGTTTGTGTGAGGGGGGTGGGGATATGTTATTCTCTTTTCAAAAGCCAAACCAAAACAATTTGCAATTTTGCATATACTAAATAACAGAGAGAAACTCACCTGTAAAAGAAGTGTTGGTCAGTCCTGCAAGAAACAAAGTCGAAGGACAAAAATAAGAACATGTTTCAGAAAATTGAAAGAGTGGCAGAATATTCAAATAATATATTCAGTAAAAGATGGCAACCCTAGGTTGGTGAATAAAAAACAAGAAGCCAACATGCAAAAGCATGCCTGTCAAAATTATAGCCAAAGAATTATACAACAAAAATATGTGACATTCAATAGTGATGAGAACAGGGGCTTATATAGCATGTCTTAATTGGATGTTTAAACCAATATACTTACAGTGGCGTGATATTATGGCTTTTGATGAAAGGTTAATTAAGGTGAAAAAAAATAAAAACTAAAATTCTCATCCCAAAACATTTCTTTTTTTGGTTTTGTTTTGTTTTGTTTTTTAATCAAAAAATGATAAATGGAATCCAGTTCATGCAGAGTTACAATAGCAGATGGTACTTTTTTAGTTGGGGGTGCTTTAGAGAGAAATTTACCTACAGTTAGGGAAAAGGGAAAAAAAGTCTTCAAGATAGTGAAATAATATTTAAGCAGCAATTGATAAGAATCCCATCTCTCATGCAAACTAGTAGAGTAAAATGAAATCAGATTCCCAAGATCATCCCCAAAGAGGGCCTTATCCTCAATTACTTATGCTGTGTTTGGTTCAAGAATTTAAGGAGAGATTTGGAAAGGAAAAGGGAAAAAGGATGGTGAAATGCCAAATCCTTGAACCAAACACAACCTCAGAGAATTTTCATTGAATTTCATCTTATCAGGTAAAAATAGGAGCCAAAATAAGGACATCCTTCCTTGACACAAATACATTGAATAGCAGAGTCTCTAAGGTTAGGCATCAACTGAATGGCATTAAACTGTTTGCCCACCAATTACAACAAAGAAGCCACAAAGCAAATTCTCTTCTACATAATAATATCCACACAACAATAAATTTATACATCAACTTTCACATTTCAAAGGGTTGGTGCAGTTCATTCAAATCAAGATTTTTACTCAAATTTGGAATGAAATTAGATGAAAAGGCGCTAGATCATGAGATCTACGAGCTAAATTAAAGTCCTTTCCCAAATTTAGTAATCATTAATTGAGTGTCCAATGAAGAAGAGATCTGCAAGAGAAAACCCACCTTGGGGAATGGAGAGGAGAGGCTGAGAAGAACAATCGCAGAGGCAGGGAGGGCAAGAGGAGGTGGCTAAGCCTTCCATGAAGTGCCAGTACAGAGGAGGACCCACTATGTACCCGAACAAGCACAGAGACATCACCACGAAGATCGCTTTCAACACTCCCGGATTGCACGATCCTGCGTCGTTCATTACCATTTTTCCAAGCTTTTCTCTCTGTCTCCCCGGGCTGGAATGGAATGGAGTCAGAGAGAGATCCCGCTAATAGAGAGAGAAAGAGAACGATGAGACGAGTCAAACCGAATGAGTGTGGGGGCAGAAGGGAAGTGAGATCGTAGCTGACAAGCTTGGATTCACTTATTAAAAATTATAAGTGCGTTTGGTGGTTCCAAAAATCATGATTTAAATGACTTGTAATATTTAAAATGATATTATTTTGGGTATAAAATGGTTTTATTTTGACATATTTAAATTATTTATCAAATCACGAATGACGGATTAGTAAATAATCAAATTCACTTTACTTTTTTAGAATATTTTTAAAATATTTTTTAAAAAATTTTACTTTTTTATTTTTTTAATATTTTAAGTAATATTTTTAATTTTTAAATACACTTAACACAAATATACTTAAAATTTATAATATTTATGAAATTTTTTTAAAAAAAATTTATAAATACCAAAAATATAACAGTAATGATAGACTCCACAAAACATAACTTCTATAATTCAAAAATAATCTAAACCATTCATGTCACTATCAAAGATAGAAAAAAAAAAATTAAACACATCAATCGTTAATATATTGGAGTCGTGGGAGTCCTCCTTTGTGGAGGTCACAAACATTTTTCAAACATAAAAAATGTGAAAATTTAATATATTTTTCATATTTTTATGTATTTATTGATTTTTTTAAAATATTTTACTTTTTAAATAAATCTAAATAAGGTACATCTAAAATAATAAAAAATTACTTAAAATTTTAAAATATCACTCAACCAAAAAAACGTAAAAAATAAAAAAATTAATTTTTATAAAATTAAATTCAGAAAATTAATGGATACTTAAGTTTTAATTTATATCAATTTCATCTCTGAATTTCACACATTTATTTTGATGTAAAAACATTGACAGGTAATTTCCTTAGAAACATAAAAAAAGAAAAATTAAGCTAAACTCGCATCAAATATTAAAACAGCACTGCTGCAAGCACATAATTTTGGTGCACATCATGTGAGAGATTCCATGCATTCCGTGTACTACTAAAATTCTGTACAAACAATTTTGTTTTGCATTGAAAGGCATTAATACATCTAATTATATCAAATATTATCAATTAAGGATTTTTTTAAGAAGTTAGTTAAAAGTTAATTTTTTAGTTTTTTTTTTATTTTATTTTTTAAAAAAAATATATAAAAAAATAAAGAGGTGATGTGATCTAAAATAAGTTCAAAGTCAAAAATTAACTTTAACCATGTTCCCAAATTAACCCTAAATAACTAAACCCATTATTTATTTAACTTCAGTACTAGAATGAAAGTTTTTGAATATGTATTTTCACTCGTGTCTTTAGTCATTTAAGTAGAAAAAGTGATAAATTTCTTTCTAATGCCCTCCTCCAATTACTAGGGCTTCCTCTGAGGTTTGATTTTTTAAATAATTTTGTGATTTTGTAAAAATTTTGTGAAGTAAAAAACATGTGTTGGATTTATGAAAAATTATGATATAAAAATTAACTTAAAATATGAGATAATTGATTTTTAAAATTTTATTTTAAACTTAAAAATTAAGTTTCAAAAGGAAGCCTTAATAGAAATGACATAAATAGTGTATGTAAGATGCAATTGTTACGAATAAAAAATTAGAGATGAAAATAAAATAAGTGCTATACATAACGCAGCATTTGTGTAATTTATTAACCCAAAAAACAAAAAAAAAAAAAAATGTTTGAAACCTTAAAAAAAGTATTCATAATTTTAATATGACATAATATGTGTTAATTTTTGATTGGTTACATATTTAATGATAATAGACTCAACTCTTACATATATTATTGTGAGTGAATTTTGTAGATATAAATGTGTAGATCTCTAGGATGATTATTCAACAATCTCGAAATATACTCACGTGATATTCCATGATAATATATTGGTGAAGAAAATTGATTTTTTTTTTCTTCTTCATAAAGTGAATATGCAAACAACTATCTTAATATGTCCGACAGAAAGTATTGTCTTTTAACATTCACAGAAAGTATTATCCGACAGAAAGTATTGATTTGGTGTGGATTATAGGGGTGATTTAATTTGAGAATTTGTGCCAGATTATTTGGTGTAGTTTCTATTTATAATTTTTTAGGCAGGAATAACTTAAATAAATTGAAAAAAATTAATTATTAGAAGCAAAAGAAAGAATACTTTTACATTTTACTTTTTGATTTTCAACTTTTGACTTATAATAAACTGTACGAAATAACACTTTCTCCATTTGTTTTGAGGTTATATAGATTGGGAGGGGATTAGGATGGAGGTGAGGTTATTTAGTGTTGTGTTTGTTTGTAGAGTTAGGGAGGGGATTAGGATGAAGGTGTGAAAACCCACATTTTATTATTTTTAAAAGAAGATAAATAAACAAATTAATTAATTTTATCCAGAGTCTATCTGAAATATGTATTACTGTTTAATCCAATTCAATCACTAACAAAGAAAAAAAAATAATAATAAATAAATAAATAGATAATAATAATTTTGTGGGTGTTCAATATTTGTTGTTTATAAATTATTTTAATTAGGATTCAATATAATAATTATTCTTACTAAATACCTTTAAATTTTTAAAAAACAACACAAAAAAAAAAAAAAAAAAAAAAAAAAAAAAAAAAAGAGGTAATCAAACCTTTGTAGAATTTTGGTGGAGGCTTTCCACATGTTGATTTGCATGCTTGTTTAGGGAAGAAGAGCTAATGATGCTCTTGGAATTGAGAGAAAGAAAACTTAGAATGAAGAGAAAGAGAGAGAGAGAATGAGAGGGAGAGAGAGATGTCTTCAACTAGCATATATATATATATATATGCATGCAAGCCTTCTTTGTGCATGCAAGCATTCGGTAGAAGAAAAAAAAAAAGAGAGGAGAGAAATCTCTTAAGTAACCAAACTTAGTGATAGGAGAGGAAGAAGAGTAGGAGATTAAGGAAGTCAAAATTCTCAACCATTTTGTCACCTATTACTAAGTAAGAAAACCCTCTTAACCCTCTCATTTCTTTTTATTAGTGAAATTTTCAGATTACTTCCTTGTGATTAAAATGACTACTCATAAATAGAAATTATATATATATGTGTAGGAATTTTGTGATCAAAATAGTCTGTTTTGAATATGCTAGCATGTTGCCTGAATTTTTAGACAATTTTATACTCAGAATTTCGAGATGATTTCTTCTAAAAAGTTGTTTATAATGATGTCTAGTTTATCCAAAAAAATTTGGAAACAATTTTCGAGCTTTCTACGAATTTATACAAATTTTTAACTAAATCTGAAACTGTGTTGAGAATAATCTGTTTTAAATCTGCCATCATGTTTACCCGAATTTTTAGATAATTTTATACTCAAAATTTCGAGATGATTTCTTAGTTGTTAATAATGATGTCTAATTTATCCAGAAATTTTTGGAAACACTTTTTGAGCTTTCTTCGAATTTATACAAATTTTTAACTAAATCTGAAACTGTGTTGAGAATAATCTGTTTTGAATCTGCCAGCATGTTTACCCGAATTTTTAGATAATTTTACAGTCAAAATTTTGAGATGATTTCTTCTACAAAATTATTGATGATGATGTCTAATTTATCTAGAAAGTTTTTAAAACAATTTTTGAGCTTTCTACGAATTTATACAAATTTCTAACTAAATCTGAAACTGTGAGACAGATTTTACCATGTATTTGAAAATTTATTTAAAATTCTATACTAAGCCAAATCTGGTAATTTCTAACTAAAAGATGAAATTTGAGAAGTCTAGTTTCATGATAAATTTTTAGATTATGGGTTTGATCTATAAATTTAAGCACGGAATTAATGTAAGGAAATGTGACAAATCTGTGTCATAAACACCCTTGGAATTTGTTTAGAATTATTTATAAGTTATTTTTGAAAAATGATTTCTGAAAATAACCATAACATGTTTATTGAGTATCCTGTAGATTGATATGAATTTTAGAGTTGTATAAGTAATGTATTTATAATTTTATTTGCAAGATATATACTCTGAAAATTTTTCTGGACAGAATAAAATCACCACTTTAATATTATGCTAGTCTAATTTTGTAAATCAAAAATTTGTTCATGTGTGTATTTAGGGTTTAATTCTTGTATCTAAGTTATTATTTCACACCATGGTTTTAATAAATTGTTTATTTAAATTCTGTACTTTTATTTAGTATTGTGTGACACATGCAATATTTTATGATTGAGTATTTTAATGAATTGGTATAACATTACTTGTGATTAAAGATTTGGAATTATTTGTGATTAATATCAAAATTAACTGAAATGATTAACGGCATATACAAAGTTAATAATTGACGGTTAATACCAGTTGTTCGGGGTGAGTCTTGGTTTAAAGACTTAAGTTAAATCTCTTTGGTGAGATTTCGAGTGTCACCTAATTTATAAAAATTATTGAAATTATTCTAATGGTTGTAATTTAAGTTAAATCTCTTTGGTGAGATTTCGAGTGTCACCTAATTTATAAAAATTATTGAAATTATTCTAATGGTTGTAATTTAAGTTAAATCTCTTTGGTGAGATTTCGAGTGTCACCTAATTTATAAAAATTATTGAAATTATTCTAATGGTTGTAATTTAAGTTAAATCTCTTTGGTGAGATTTCGAGTGTCACCTAATTTATAAAAATTATTGAAATTATTCTAATGGTTGTAATTTAAGTTAAATCTCTTTGGTGAGATTTCGAGTGTCACCTAATTTATAAAAATTATTGAAATTATTCTAATGGTTGTAATTTAAGTTAAATCTCTTTGGTGAGATTTCGAGTGTCACCTAATTTATAAAAATTATTGAAATTATTCTAATGGTTGTAATTTATGTTTACAATTATATTGTTATCTCATGTTTAGAACCTCATTATTTTTCTCTTAAAAAGAATGGTAGGTTGGCTATGTTTTCTTACTGTGTTGCAAAACTCATGGCATATATTTTTGTTGCTCTGGCGTTTTATGCCAGGTTTTGGCGAGGAAATAATTGAAGCTGAAATGAAGTTGACGCTAACGTAGAGCGTTGGCTGACTTGAAATCATAGCTAAAGTCGAATAACTTTATTATCTTATATATCAG